ATAAATAATATAGAACTGTTTTGTATTGTAACTACATGTAAAAGTGTATGTAAGAAGTAAAAGCAGAAATGAAAATTTAGAAAACATCTAAATTCATATAAGTTGTCCTCTAATTTCCTATAATAATTATGGCCATACTTAGACCACAGGGCGAACAATAGTACTGATAGTTAAAAAAAAAAAAAGGTCAAAATACTACCATCGTCTAATATCAGAAAATAAGATAAACCACTCTAATAACATGTTGCTGAGTATTATTTCTTTGTCTAAGAAAAACACAAATAGAACTTAAATTGTTTTTTTTTTGATACAAGATAAAGATTGGAAAACATGAAGATTAGAATGAAAAAAAAAAAAAAAAATAGATCTTTTCTCAATAATTATGAAGATATCAGTGGTTTGTAAAGTTCTTGATGTAAAATTTATTGATGTTGGCCATTATAAGCAGAAATAACAAATACAGAGATAAAACATTAGCACATAATAAATATATAAAGCATTTAAATGACAAAAATAAATCAATGAAATTTATAGAAAATGAATAATAATTATTAAAAGTGCAAGAATGCTTAGATCCCCATGTTAAACACCAAGGAGTTGGTGTAACTTAATTATTCTTTTGAATTTCATACACATGCATACACAATTAAAAAATATTAAGTTATACATAAGTATAATATGAATATTTTTCTTAAAAGATTTCTTGAGGTTCATTAAATAAATTTACAACTATATTTTAGCGACATTTCAAGACCCGCCATTATTGTTCTCATATTCATGTTCTACACAGTGATAAAAACAGGATAATCAGCAGAATATAAATTTCATAAACTCAAATCGACAACAAATAGAATAAACATTAACTATTAAAATATTACAACTATAAAATGTAAAACGAAATTGAAGAATAAATTGTACTAAAATTTAATTTTACTAAATTTAGTTCAACTTCTTGATCATTTAAGCGTACTTAAATTGTCAGTCATTTAGCATTAAAAAAAAAAATCCTATGAACTTATTTTCATAAATAGGCATGAACATGAGAACAATAAAGCAATAAACTTTAGGGTGGGTCAACCGGGGCAATTGCCCCGGGTGCTGACCTGAATAGGCGCTCGTAGGGGACAGGCCAATCTCCAGGGGGGCTCGCCACTTGTTAGAAATTAAAAAATACTACAAAATGTTTAAAATAATTTATTTTAATTCATCAATGAAGAAACTATATTAGACAAACGTTTAATGAAATAACATTGAAATGTTACATAATATTAACAGCTTAAAAAATATTCTTTTTTTTTAATTTAGAGTTTTTAGGGAGGAGGGATGAAGATATCATTGTCTGGGTGCACCGATTGTCTAAGGCTGGCACAGTAATAAAGGGTTATCAAAATGTCGCCAAGATGTATTTGCTTAATTATTGACTAAACCTCAAAGGCCTAAGAAAATGAAAATTTATATAACTAAAGTCAAAAAAATAAAATGAATACATATATCAGGGACATAGGAACCAAGGGGGCAACTTGGCCCAGGCCTTGAGGCGAGATTATTCAAGTTAATTTTTTCCAAAGATATACTTCTATCAATTTAAAAGTACAAGAAATAATGATAGTTACGTAATAAAAAGAGATAGAAACAAAAAATTGGAGGTTTAAGGAGAAATATATTACTATATCAGGAAATATCTCAAAAGCGTAGTAATAAACCAACCTCTTGCAAACATCTTAATGTGCTTTCTAGCAAAATGAATTAATTTTATATTCAAAGCAGTGATTAACAGTTTAAGTTAATTGTGTCAGGAAGATAATTATTATTGTATTGCATAAATTAATACAGTATTATTATTCTTCGATCTTTACATTCAAATGCTTAAGTCTTCGAATGATAAAACAAAGGTGGCACAGCTGAAATACTCCAGATCACTATGAAGGATGCAAATAGATTGCAAAAAATGTAATATTTTCGTTGTTTATTATATTGTTTAGTTGAAAAGTGTGTTACTGGTGTATAAACTACATTTTATAATACAAAACTTTTAATATTTATAACTTATAATATTTATGTTATTTATAGTTTGTTGAATAGTATTTACTTGAAAAATAATAAATTTTGAAAAATTGGGAACATTTTTTTTTGTCTATGCAATCTCTCTCTCCCTTCTTCCACAAATGATATGATGGAGCCTCTCATCCCAAATTTTGCCATTTGCCTCAGTATTTCTTCCTATACCACTGATATATACAATATATTATTGTGCATGCCTGTGTAAGAAATTGTTTTAAGGATTGATGAATATTAATAAAAAAAATAACACCCACACACATAAATGAAGTACTTATAAGATGACTTCAGGATAACTGAATGAATTTTTAAATACATAGCAAGAGCCAGTCCCCTCCATGATGATATGAGGTCCAATGATAGGCCCATGGAGGGGGAAAAGAGAAGAGGAGGTTTATATACTTTCAAAAAAATAAATAAAACAATCTTCATACACAAATCTTTTTTGTTAGATTAAAATATTTGAAATTTTAAAATTGTTGCCACACAAGCAAAGAAAGAAAAAAAAAAAATCTGAAAACATATATATCAGACATCTGTAGCCAGACAAATGTCTCTGGGATTGAACATTCAAATTATTTTAAGGGGATCAGACGTCCCAGAATAAAGTTTAGTTTCATTTCATTATATTTTAAATAAATCATAATTCAAACAAATAAAAAGTATCTTAATTGAAATAGGCAATGAATAGAACTATTGATTTAAAAAAAAAAAAATATTGCAAAGAAATAATTGTTCCCTTGTGATTAAGTAACTTTTGAATATTATTAAATATTTAATATTATTTAAATATAAACTAAGGAAAATTAAGTGCAACCCTAGGTGAATTAACATTTAGTAAATGACGCAAGACATGCAATTAAGCGACATTACTTGCCTTCTATCGTTGGGCAGCGCCCTGAGGTAGGCTACAGATGAGTTGAAATTATAACTAATTTTTAACTACATAGAAAACCTAAGTAAAATAAATTTCACTTTACAAAATTAGACTAGCTTTAATAAAGTTCTTATATTTCCTGATAGTAAAACAGCAGCGAGTAAAGGACTCCAAAGATAAACTTTTTTTCAAAACATGGAGACAAAAGACGGGAAATTAAAATCTTTACATGTTTAGGCCTAGTAAAAAAACAGCGAATGTTGATTTCTATGAGCATAGGATGGATGGATAGGTGCATTGCCACTGTAAGTATGTTTTGCTCTCTTTTATAATTTCTGAGTAGAATAAATTTTAACAGTTTACAACTTTTAAAGTTTCAATGTACAGATTTTAATAGTTAACTTTATTATTAATTCCAGCTCTCTTCAATTTTATTATAGCCTACTTCACCTTGAAATTGAAGCTGATAACTGAACAAATAAACATGAAGCTAAAATATTTGATTGTGATTCTGTAGATGTGCAATATTTTTTTTTTTTTTATTTAAGCGGCTGGGACAAGGCCTGTGGACAGCCAGTCAAATAATGTCAAAACTGGCAGAGTCATAAAACTCTATAAATGTTTTACATAAGTAGAGGTTTGTTACAGAATAAGTTGAGATCCACCTCTAGTTGTGTAAAAAAACAACAGACTTGATATTGTCACCTCCAAGTCTCAATGTTTTCAGCAAAAATAACTACTTTTCAAAAATTTATCCTCTGAAGTGATAACGTACCTGAAATTCATACACACATCTCTGTAATAGGAATCGATACTTTTTTTTATTAAGAAATAAACTAAATATTTCTAATCCTAATATTAAGTTTTTCATTTTTTTTTTCTTGCATTTTTTATAAATTAAAAGTGTATTTTCTTAAATAATTTATAACAGTACATTCTAGGTTACAGGAAAAATAAATAAACTTTATATTTTTGTCCACAACTAAAGATGGATTTGAACATATTCTATGACAAACCTCTCTTAATTAATATAATATGGACTGGAAGCATATTAAACAAGGAAGTGTTTCTAAAAGTGAGTAAAAGTATCCATATTCCAGTTAGAGGGTGATTAAAACAGATAGCGAATAATCCATGATTTTACCATAAAGCTATTGTTTATAATCTACATACAAATTTTTTAGTTGCTGCTTTCTATTAAAAAAAAAAACAGCTTACTGAGAAAAACAAACTTAAAAACTTAAATTTTCATTTTCTCCAGAAAACTGGATCATGATTATTTATATGAGCCTTTCAGTTGACAGAATGACTGACTAACTTCAATTTTAACATTTTAGAATATTGATTTTAGTGATATTTCTGGTTGGAAATTTTAGACCTTTATTCATAGTTCTATATTTCAGCACTGCAATCACCTACTCTGGACTCAACTTATTCACAGTCTGTACAGATATTTAAATTTTGCAACTAGAAATATCACTGAAACGACTTTACTAAAAAATGTTGAAATTGGAATTAGTCATTCAGCCAGCTGAAAGATTCATATAAAACTTTTTTGTAGACCTATGGGTCAGCTATCACCACATTAAATAATATTTTCCTATACTTACAGGATACCCTATATATATGCGTTTAGTCTCAGGAAATCTGTAATATCCAGATATATATGTATCACAGATTACCTGTCTTCCCCCTTTTAATTCTATCATGTTTAGAATATCGGCAGAAATTTGGAAGATACCAACTTTATACTCAATATAAGAGTCAACCAGATAATACAACTTAACTCTAGTAGTTTTTTTTTTAGAGAAAAATGGGGGGAAAATGAGTAAAAATTGAAAAAGAACTTAATATGATTAAACAAAACATTAATAATCATCAGTGAAGATCCAACTATCTGCTGTTTTACTAAGCTGTTTAACATTTCATAGGATGCTGACATGCAATTTATGCAGAAGTCAAATATAAAAATTAGGCATACTAGGTATCACCTTCAATTAACAAAATTGAAAGTAAAATAATAATCTATTCTTAAACAGAATTAAAAATATATAACTAAACAGACCTGACATGAGTACCCTCCGATATATGTTGGACTAAATCACCAATTATTTCATGTTTGATATAGTACAGCATCCTCACTCGCAGTAGCAATCTTAAAAAAAAACATAAATATACCAATATAAATACACACATACAAATATGACTCAGTAATGTAATAATAATTACATTAAAGATTATAACATTTCTATAAAACTAAAATATATACACATATATAATTTTATTAAGTCAAGATAAATTGTAAGGTATTAAAAAAGTAATACAATACAGACTTGTTTGCATGGCGGCTCAGGTGTTTTCTGTAATTACTTTCAAGGAAAATATCACCATCAAACTTTTCATGTCTACTCCAATGATCACTAAAATCCATACCATCACATTTAAGTTTACGAGTAGCTTTTCTTCCTCGTGGAATTGTTTGTGACTGCCCTAAAAATTATAAAATAAAATTTAGTTTTCATCTACTTGTGAAAGCCTACGCACAAGACATAGTCGCTTAAACTAAGTATTAAGAACATAGAAGAATTATTTAGAAACTAAAAAAATATTTCAAATGCCACATATTGATTAATAATACAAGGTATAATTATAGTGTTATAAAATGTTTTTGATATATTATTTTAATTATATTAATGACACCATATTAGTACAATAATAAGCAACTATAGATATATATTCACATAAACTTAAGTTATTCTGTACTGAGGACATCTAAGAAGAGGGTTAGTGTAAAGAATTTTTGATTTTTTTTATTCAATGTTAAGGGCAGGGCAGCTTCTGGCACCTCAAAACCGCTTTGCCATGATGATGGCTCCAAAAGCAAGCAGCTTTGTCTATCACATTAGTAATGTTTTCATTGTTAATATGATAGACCTGGGGCAACAAGGAGATGCAGGTTGTAAATCTCATCCTCACTGCACAGAGGGCATTTCCACGACTCCGTTACAGCACTAATGCCTTAAAAAGTAACTGTGTCCTTTCATCAAGCATAAACGCACCAGTGAAATTTTCATATTGTATATCAGTACAATTGGCCTCTCTGTTAAACTTTCCTATCATTTTCCAGCAGTCAGACAATTCCTAATATCTTCCTTCAGATTATTTTAAAATCCTTTTAGTGTAAGATTGGTAAATAAATATATAATTAAAATAATTAATTGTAATTCAGTAATGCACATCTGAATATTTTATATTGGAATATCTTAAAATGTAAGTTTCTTTTTATGTTTATAATTAGAAAATTATTGTAACAGATTTTTCAACTTAGGTACTTTCTGGCAACAAATCATATTATTAGTATTATTATTAAGCTATTTTAAAAATAAAAGAGATACTCTTAATTACTATCTAAATTAAAACTTACCAGACACCACCGTTCAGTAAATATCAGATATCAATAATCAATTTTTTTTTATTTTGAACTATTATGAAATTATATTAATAAATCCTTCTTTTTCTTGGTGTAACAATGAAAACAGCTAAGCTCATCAGAGATGCAAAGACAGATAGAAAAAGCCATAAAGAATGGTGCCCTATTTAATTACTTTTTCTGATTTTCCATTATCCCATTACCTCCTTATCTAGCTCTTTCTGATATAAGGAAGGGGGAGGGAGGGAGGTTGTTATAAAGGTACAACGAAACCTAGCTTTATTTTGACTGAGCTAATTGTACTACTCCTAGCTCAAATTTGTATTATTTTTTATTAACAAAATAAACTGAACAAAACAAAACCATAGTTCAGACAAATTTTTAATTTCTTTAAAAAGCTATAATATAAATCGCACCTTATAGCCAATTTATATTATTATATAATTATAATTATTCTTATTGCCAATTTGTAACCATAATGGAATAATAATTCTGGGAATAAGAAGTGTGGTCTTTTTATTACGATCCGTCCTGCTTTGTATATGTAAAATAAAATATGACACAGTCACTAAAAACTTTATTATAGTAGAGACTAAAAGGCTTATCATTACACTAAAATCATCAAAAACCATTTTATTATTATTATTTTTTTTAATCAATAGAAGCTGTATCATTGAACTCAAATCATCAGAAAACACTTAAAATTCTTTTCTGTTTTTGTAATCAGTATTAGGCCTGTCATTGAATAAAAATCATCAGAAACAATTTTAATTTTTTTTTTTCCGATCACTATTAGGCCTATCATTGAACTAATATCATCAGAAACTATTTTAATTTTTTTGTTTTTTAAATAGAGCTCAGCTACTATTCAATATAGTATAATTTAGACAATATAGAATAATTTAAATTAAAAAAAAGCAAAGCTTGAACAGCTCAAAGATATTTCCTAACTAATATTCATAACAATAAAAAAAGAGAAAAGATCAATTACCAGAGTGATTTCTTGTATCAAATTCTGGAGGAGTAATTAAGTCCCATATGAAAGTTCTTATTTTATCATCACCTCTGTAGAATCTTAAACAATATAATACCTAAAAATAAAAGAAATATAAATAAAAAAAATCTGGTATGGGTGCATCAAACAAATTTCACTTACCACTCTACTTACAGTAGAAACATCTTGATATTTTTTCTATTAATTCTATTTTTTTTTTTTAATTCTTACCAAGGGTAGAGGAAGTTTTGTATTATTGTAGAAGGTTAAAAAAAATGTTATGCTCAGACTCAAAATTTCTACATACATTTTATGTTTTATATATCAAGGAACGAATTTGACGGACATATCACCTATTCACATTAGTCGGATTTTCGAGAAATTATGAGATATTGTGTGGGTTGGGATTTTCAGATATTATGTAGTCCAAACTTCCTACAAATTTTTGTGAGGATAAGAGGAATCATTTTGGTGTTATCCCACATTTTGTGATATTCGAAAGAGGTTTAGTGCAAAGAAAATTATTTTTTTATTTTTATGAAAATTTGTATTTGAGGGTTTATCAAGGTCCAGAATACAAATCTCAACTTCATTTTCTCTTAAAAAAATATTTGAATCCACTTTTATCCTTCGGTCAGTACAAATTGTTTCAACATCGTACTCATACTATAGCTAGATGCCAAATATATAGTTATTTCCAAGTGAAATGGGCTATAGTACAGGTCTCCTAATGAATATTAATTGAAAATAAGAAGAAAAAAAAATGAAAAAAATCAAATTGTAAAACTTTCTAATCAATTTCGATGTTTTTTTGTTTTTGAAGAATTAACGATGATATGGCTCGTTAAATGGTCAAAAAGAACCATCGATAAATAATATAAACTCCTCCTCTCTCAATCATAGAGGCCTCAAGTCGATGAAATGAGACATGTATGCAATGAAAGTACTACAATTAACGTAAGGTGTTGTGTGGATGTGAACCCTATGCCTTGGATTATCTCGAGAAAATAGTACGTTTTGAGGCTTAAAAACACAAGACCCGATAGTTCCGAAGGACATTGATGTACACATCAAAATCTTTAAAGCCCAATTTGTCCTGTATCCATCTACAGACTTACTACCATTCCAGTATTGAAGCCAAGCAAAATGTTTACATCGACTTGATTTATTTTAGAAAGAAAAACAAAAGCGGAGAGTATGATTCACAAACCCCCCGTAAAATTCTGAATCCAAGGGTATCCCATTCAAGGTATTTGAGCATGACAGGAGCTTATATTAGGAACAAAACCGATTTCGAACCTTACTGTAATAATATATGTGGGGAACTATTTGATCCTCAAATATATACATATATATAATATTATTTGGTTTTAGCATTAAAATCAGCAAATTATAATAGGGAAGAAGGATTGTGATTAATTTTGATATCGCCCCTTCCTCTACACTTAAAAAAAATCAATGCAAGGTATTTACAGTTCAGTCCACTACATATTTTTGGTTTTTCAAGCCGAGAATATGGAATATGATAATTTCATTACGTTTTTATGAAAAAATTTATTCTCTAATCATTAATAATACAAGTGACATTGACTACAACAATTAAAAATCATATTAAAGTCAGTTAGATATTAATTTTTCTAAAACTCCTGGCTTTGCAACAGTATATTATAATCCAGACAGAGGTATGGTCTGGCCCTTCCATTCCTCACGTCACATCAGTGGAGCTAAAGCAACTCATTTTAGTCATATCTATCGCCATACTTATTATTATTGTTACATTGAAAAATCCTTATTTTCTTTTTAACACTCTAAATATTAAACAATAGAATTAGTTGAATTTACTGAGAAAATCCATTGCAATTAGTCCTTTTTCATTAAGTACATTACAAAAAAAAAAAAAAAAAAAATGAATCAAATAATAATTGGGTGTTGATAATTACTACAAATAGATTATATTTTTAAAAGTAACATCAAGTGAAATATTTTATTATTTCAAAAAAGTAAATAGTTTTGAAATAGTTATTTTCAAAAAAGTATGAGTACCAGTAAGCGCTCATATTTCAAGTTTCAGTTGGAAATATGTTGTTTTACCATTTTTTAATATTATGGTAACTATATTTATACTTCAGAAATATTTTATTTATTTATTATGTAATATGCCTTATAGTCAGAATCCATCTTTATTTTTCTGTACAGCTTTGTTATTCTTAAGGGACTGACTTCATACCACAATAATATTGCTTTTTCTATTCTATTTAATTCTTTTAGGAGGACAAATTTCATATTTATGAAATAATTTTTAAAAATCTTTAAATAAATAAATATTTCTAAATTTTATAATAAATATTTCAAAACTTAGGTAAATTTTTTTATTTGGTGATATGGCAATGTTATTTATGACATCTTTTTAACTTAGAGAGATTGTTTAGAAATATATTTGTGAAAATTGTAATTATATTGTTACAGATATACGAGGCCGTAATTTTCATCATGGTAAATTTTATAATTATTATTAAAAAATTATTTTTAATTTATATTTGATTTTAGGCCATTGTAATATTTATTTAAACAGGTAAACTGATTAGGGGAGATGGTAGGAGTCGTGACTGAAATTAATTTTGTTCTTTGCCTGATTGTTAAAACAGTAAAATCATCTCTCTTAACCCTAAGTGATGGCAAATTTACTATTAAAATGGTCAATACAAATTTGACTTGAACAAAGTACTACTCTATAATTTTCTCAAAAATTTTATTTTATTATTTAGGAGATAAGGCAACACACTTTTTCATTCTATCTGCCTGTAAATAGTTAGGACACAATCAGGGTCTCCAATTTGGTGAAAAAGTTCCCTTTTTAGAGAAATTTGAACGTTTGAAAGGAATAAAAGGTAAACAATTTTTATCAATGAAAACCTAGTCGGAACACATTACATTATAATCTATCTTTTTAACAATATAAGTAAAACATACAAAAAAGGAGAATTACATACAGTATCACGTATAATTTAGTACATATTTGCGAGAAAGAGATTATTAAGTTCGTCACGGAAAAATAGAAAATTTGACTGACCGAAAGGGAAATAAAAACAAAATGTGGTGAAAAAATGCTGGACAGAACACATAAGAATTTTAAATAACAACAAAACAAACGCAACTTTTTTCTTAAATATACTATTTTATAACGGTTGTAACTTTCATAACAATGCACACAATCTTTTTTTGGAACGGCTAGCTTCTTTAAACAGTGATCAGAAGTGGTGGAAGAGGTTAGTGCCAGGTCTTAACTATAGTAATGTAGAAGTAAATAAATTGAATGTAGATAACAATAAAAACGTTGCAATCTGTAAGCTGATAAAAACAAAAAAAAATTTATTATCATTGAAAAATCATATATTAAAATAAAAATACGTACTATCACACGTGCACAATCTTCAATATCTGCTTCTTTCCATCCTTCTCGAAATTGATTATGAGCCAATATTTCTTGCCATCTTCCCCAACTGTGTTAAAAGTAAAAGAGGTAAAGAAAACAAATTAAAACTAACTCATGTAAACAAATAAATTTATCAAAAATACAAACCCAAAAGTCAGAAGTCCTCTCTCAACTTTGAAACATTCTGATCTAGCCCATGTACCGTAAGTTATATCACCATCTTTTGCAGAATAATCTTCAAACCGATATCTATGTTTCTTATGAAGTTTGTTCTTGACCCGACGCCCTGAAAGTTTTAATAGTTATAAAATACTGAACTTTTGAGGTAAGATCAAATAACAACAAATTAAGACAAAACTGAGAGTAACAAGATCACAATAATTAATCCTGTTTAACAACTAATTTATTATGAGTTGAATCATAACTGATATGCTACAACAAAGCTTTATTAACGAACATAGGATTTTTTATTTCAATTCTATCAGTTTTAATACTCCTTATTTAATATCTTCATACTATATTTATTATTAATCTAATTAAAACAAAAAAAAATATTGTCTGAATAAATAGATTGAGAATATAGAATGAAAAATGGTAAGGATATATTATGTATACATGAAAAATAATATATTATGACATATTTAATATGTATGTATGTATTATATAATATATATTATGACACACTCAATGTTTCTAGCCAAAATATTTAGGTTTTCATGAATATAATTGAAGCAATCAGTAGGTTTTTATTATTTAAAATGTAAATTTTAGTAAGATACATTAAGTTTGTCACTGATACATAACAATTCTTATGACGGACATCTGGAAGAAAAATACAATTTCATAAACACTTTAGGTGAAAAATATTTAAAATATCATTATTTTCATTGAAATCGTTGAAGCCGTATTAGCGCTACAGTCTAAAGGGAATCACGTTTTACGGCCGCCATTTCGAAAGGAAAGGCCTGATGATAATGGAAGGTATAAAAAAACACTTCTAAATATTATTGAGATGTTGTGTCAAAATTCATAAAAAATTGGTGAAGAACCTTTGGAGATTAGCCGTTTTGAACAAACTAAAATTTATATTTTTATTTATATGCTATATAATATTTTTATTTAATGATAACACTAAAGCTCATCAATATCTATTAAACAAAAAAAGAAGGAAGAAAATCGGTTGAATAATAGAGGAGTAAAAAGAGCTGAACCGATTTGTGTTCGCCTATTTATATAATGATTATAATACATTTCATATTACGGAAAAACGATAAATAAAAGCTTTGTAACAGTTAATTGGGGTCAGTTTTGGAGAAAACATGGGTAGTTGGTGACGATAGGAAATCACATTATTTCTTTACACAAGTTGAGGTGAATTTCAACATTTTTTTCTAATAAACCTCAACTTAATTAATATGGCTTAAAGCTTATTAAATGAGGAAGTTTTTGTAAAGATGGGGTAATCGCAGTACCGTTGAAGGGTGATAAAAAAATCACAAATAACTAATGACTTTTCTTAAAACAGAACTTTGCTGTGTTTAGCTGCTCAAAAGTCCTCTTTAAATAGTTTTAACAACAGCAAACTCTACTATCATTTAAAGTAAATTTTGTCTAGTTTAGTATGGAGCAATGCTTATTTACTTCAATCAAATATTTTTAAGTTATTGCTTCCTATTCAACAAAAAATGAGACTCGCTTAAAAAAACACATATCTTCAATTTCCTACTTTTCTGCTGGAAACTGAGGCAATTATTTATATGAACATTTTTGTAGAGCTTGATGTCTACTATTAACCTTTTAAATATTTCCCTCTACTTAGGTCCCCTAAGTATATTTTACCCTGTATATTTTGTCCAAAAACTACTTTTCTCCAAATTTTTAAGGTTGTATCATTTTACAATACCCAACTAATACTTCTACTCTATTAAAAGATAAATACAATTTTTCTATTGTTACTTTTTTTATAAAGTGTTGTTTTTCAATATAATCAAAATAATTCATTCGTTATATTATAGCATACAAGAAAAGATGTCTAAAATTGGTTTTATGAAATAACAATCAACAAGAGTAAACATGTGTTTACCGAAATTGTATATATGCACGGTGTCCCGTAAGTAGAAGGAAATTTTTAGAAGAGTAATAGCAGACCTCAAGGCCAACAAAATAGTTCATATAAACAATAAGCCAATTCTCAGCAGAAAAGTGGGTTATCCAAGTTAATTTTTTTTTTTTTTAAGTAAGTCATGCAGTTTGATGAATAGGAAGCGATAACTGAAGAAACATTTGATTTAAGTAAATGATAATTGTTTCACTGTAAACTAACTAAAATTTTCTTTACATAAAAATAGAGCTTCATCATCATCATCCATGGATCTACAAACCCTGTAAAGTCAAGGCCTCACACAGTTTGGTCAGCCAGTCTTCTCTCTTAGTTGCCACTGCTCTCCAATTGCGGATTCCCAAGATGGACCAGGTATCCACTGCCACTCCACAGATTCATTAAAGCCAAGGTCTTCCCATTCTTCTTATCCCATAAATCCTTTCACCTAGGACCATCCTAGGAATCTGATTCTGGGTCATTCTAATTAAATGATCAGCCCATCGAAACCGGCCTTCTTTATCACAATTACGATATATGAACTCTTGTAGTCTTTTTAGCTCAGCATTTGTTCTAATCCTCCAGATTCCATTGACGCAAACTGGACCATAAATTCTCCTCTCGCACCTTAGGAGAAGGGCTTCCTGTGTAAAAGACACGGTAATGTCAAGCATTCAGAGACATAAATGAGAACTGGTCTTACCAGGATCTTGTTTAGTTGCACCTTTGTGTTTTGAGGGATAGCCTTGCTTCTGAAATGCTTCAGTAATCCAAAATAGCATTTATTGGCGGACATAATTCTGCAATGGATTTCAGCTTTTATGTCATTATCCGCATTTTATTCTGAACCAAGATATATAAATTCTTTCACCCTTTCAAATGAAAAGCTTCCAGTCATAAATTTTGATTATATATTTTTACATATTTTTAAATATTTATATTTTTATAAATTATAAATATTAAATTAAAATGTGACGATGGTTAGTGCGCATCCAGTTGTGGGCCTGCATGCATGTATTTGGTTTTTGATACATTAATCCTAAATCCACTCTAGCTGCTGCTATCTAGAGACTGATAGAAGCGTTTTCTAAATCTGTAGGGATTCTTCCAACAATATTTAAGTCGCCGGCGAAGGCTTAAATCATAGATAATCTATTGAATATAGTTCCCTCAACTTGTGTTCCAGATTTCCGTACCTCACTTTCAAGGGCCAAATTGAAGAGAAGGCAAGACAATCACCCTGTCTGAATCCTTTGTGGGTTTCAAAGTTATTGGTCAGGTCACCCTGAACAGGCACTGTGCATTGCACCTTCTTTATTGTAACCCTAATGAGACGTATTAGCTTCGGTGGTATTCGCATGTCTAAAAGCTACTGGTACAGCTCGTTTCTCTTTACACATAGGCCACTCATAAGTCGATCAACAAGTGATGTGTGCGGATATTGTACTCTCTACACTTCTCCAGAATGATTCTGAGGAAGAATATCTGATCCATGGTAGACTTTACTTTCATAAAGCCTGTCTTCTTCAGAACTTTCCTATATTCTGCTTTGCAAAAGGAAGCAGTTTTTTATAAAGTATCCAAGAGAACACCATATAAAGCACATGATAACAGAGATATACCATGATAATTATGACAATCAAGAATATTTCTCATCTTGTAAATTGGGCATATAACTGCTTTGTACCATTCACAAGGGATTTCTTCCATCTTCTAGACATCCATTATTATATTATAAAGGTACTTCACTAATTCATCTCCTGCATATTTAAACGGTTCTGCAGGGAGCCCACCTGGACCCAGTGCTTTATTATTTTTTAGCTTTTCATAAACATCTTCCCTTTCAGGGGGCTCCAATTCTCCTCTTCCATCTTCTGGCATGTCTTTGAGGAAGACATCAAAGTAATGCCGCCACTGTTCTAGAACTTGTATCATATTGGTGATCAGGTTAGGTTACCCTCATTGTTTCTACAGGCATTTATTCTTGGTTTGAATGACTGTCAGCTGCTGTTTATTTCTAGAAAGAACTTCCATTTGTTAAAGCCATTCCCTTTTCTTCCTGTGATGGGTGCGTTTCTCTTCCCTTCTTCTGGGTCTTTATTCTTCCACTAATCTTCTTGTATATCTTTGCTGTAGTATTGTTCTATAAGAAAGGTTCTTCTGGCTGGTCACTCTGACATTCTTCGTCAAACCAGGACACTTTCTTAGTTGGCTTTTGATATCCAAGCATACCAACTGCCAGTTCTTCCAAGGTTTCTATGCATTTTTGTCACTGTTGATCTATGCTATCAGCCTAATATAGATCTTTAATTCTGACATTTATACCATCAGTAAAGAGTTGTTTAACCTCATCTTCCTTCAGTTTTTCAATGTTGATCTTAGGCGATCATTTGCTCCAAGTTAATTTTTGATGTTTGAAACTCTTGCCCTAACTCTGGAGATTGTAAGGTAGTGATCAGAATCAGTGTTAGCGCCTCTGACAACTCACATCCATCAAACTAGTGATACGATGGCTACTTATTAACAGATGGTCTACTATTTGGTTACATGTGAATCCATCATTGGAGTGCCATGTTGCTAGATGTATTCTTTTGTGGGGAAACATAGTGCTTCCAATCATAAGTCCCTTCGAAGCAGCAAAATTTATTATCCTCATTCCATTATCATTTGTGTGGTCATAGATGCTATGTAGGTCAATTGTGGGCAAATATTTTTTCTCCTTTCCTACCCGTGCATTATAGTCTCCCTGGATAATTCTAACATCAGGAATCAAGGCATCTTTTTCATCATCTCCTGATGGTTCAGTTGGAGAATGGACACTAATAATTGTGGATGGACACTATAATGAATGGACACTATAATTGTGAAATTTTCCTTTTATTCAGAGATAACAGATCCTTGGGCTAATTGGCTCAAAGCCAATGACTAACTGACTCATCTTCTTGCTAAAAATGAATCCAGTTCCAAATGTGTATTTCTTATCATCGCAGCTATAGAAGATGGTATGATTTTTCTTGTTGAAGGAAGGCTCCTTGATCCGTTTATCTTATTTCTTGGATTGCAGCTAAGTTAAGATGATAACGATCCAGTTGTGCCAGAAGCTGATATAGAGATCCCAGTCTATGAAGAGATAAAAAATTCTTTTGTCCTATTAAAAGTTCCATTAGATAGGCATTGGGTCGTTTTCAAATAATCCGTCCGGCTTTCCTTGTTGCAGGTTTCGTAATAGTAGAGTTTTAAGGAGAGGGGATAATCAGAACTAACTGTGCCCCTCAGTCAGATGGGGGGAGTTACTTATAGAGGTAACCCTAGTGTGTATACTGTTTATGACCTTTGTCTGTATAGTGTGGGGGTGTGTGTTAGAGTAATTGTTCTCCCAACTAGGAAGACCAGTGGCTCATTGCGGTTCAATGACCGGGCTTTGGTGTCACCACCTCCCTACACCAAAAATAGAGCTTGGGAAGGTTTAATATATACAGCTAGATAAAGTTTAAGTTAGTATTAATTTAATTGAGGTTTATTAGGCAAAAACTTGAGATTCACCTCAAGTTGTGTAAAGAAATTATGTGATTTTCAATCTCGTCTTCTAAAAATACCTGTTTTCAGCAAAATAACTATAATTAATTGTTGCAAAGTTTCATTTCTTGTTTTTCCATGATCTGGGGATATATTCTAATAAAAATAATTGTCTAAATATATATTTTAATTAATAAAAATAATAAAATTTAAAATAACGATTTTAAAAATATTTTTCATGTAAAGTGGTTCTGTAATTATGTTTTTCTTCCAAATTTAAGTCATAGGAGTTGATCCTTATTTATAAGTGACAATCTTAATGTTAGTAGCCCTAATATTTACATTTTCTTGAAAATAATTGAAGCAATAGGTAGGTCTCTTTATTTTAAACATCATTAATGAGTTTAATACAACCCAAAACTGTGACATTAGGTTATGTCCGGGTGCTTTTAAAATGTCTCTAGTAAATGTACTTCAGGCCCCAGCCATTAATTGCACATTATAATGAATGAAAACAATTTTATTATTCTGGGACTAGTATCTCTTTAGAACAAGTTAAAAGTACAAAACATATAATAGTATTCTGGTATGTCTATAAAATAGAATTAAATATTTACAGGATGATTAGGAATACAATAAAATTATAGATAATAAAAAGCTATAAAAACGTGTATAAATATAAAATAAACAGAAAAAGTAAATTAAGTAAACAAAATATCAATGAATCACAAAATAATCAAAGTATCTGGGTGTACTTTGAGATTCTTACAGCTTAGGTTTTATGTGCATTTCATGATCAATCGGATTCGGAATGGAGTAGGTGTTTGAAGAGGAGAGATTTGAAAGAGGATACTGACTTTGCGTGTCGAATATCTGAGGGTATAGAGTTCCAGAGGCAGACAACTTGAATTAAAAAGGATTAGTCAAATGCAGCAGTTCGGTGAGGAGGAGAATAGAGGTTGGACGTATGGGATCCGGTAGGATAGGATTGAAAGGAACGTTTGAATTGTAGGATCTGTAGAATATAGGCGGGTCGCCGAGTTCTAATGGCCTAGTTTAGGAAGGTAACAAGGAAATACTGAGGGCAGTAGGACAGATAAAGCAACTTCAACTCGGTAATATGCATATTCCCTGAGATCCCGAAGATAAAGTGGATTGAGCAATTCATTAGGCGTTTAAGTTTAGCTTAAGTTCTTCCGGGAGTCCACCATACACCATACAGCCATAGTCAAAGTGGAGAAAAAAAAGAGATGAGACAAGGAGTTAACGGGTTTTGATCGGAAGAAAATAACGTATATGGTTAAACTGTTTCATGGTGGAAATAGCACGGCAGCAAATTTGTGAGATGTGTGGTTTCCAGAAGAGAGTTTGATTTATTAAAAACGGCAAGGTTTTTAACGGTGGTATGGAAGGAGAAGGGGAGCGAGGTAGCTCAGTTGGTGAGCACTGACTTCCAGAGCTCAAGGTCACAGGTGCGAATCCGGCTTATGACTAGTCATTTTTCATCAGCCTTGGGTCGATCCTGGGGTCGGGAGACCCTCCTGGAGCAAACCCAGCCTCTATAAAGTGGGAACTCTTAATTAAATAATTAATTAAGAGGGAAAACCTGGGGGTTGAGCGTGACATTAGCCCTTCACCTCCCTGCACAACCATTGGCCTCGTTACAGTACTGAACCCCAAGAACCTTCATGGGTTGTTAGTGGTACAGGTTTATGGAAGGAGATAGGTGAGTTTCAGGAGAGTGAGAGGTTTAGAAGAAGATTGAGAGGTACTGAAATGGATTTGAGGAGTGAAGGGGATCCAACCAGGATGGCTTTTGTCTTCTCCGTATTTAATGTGAGCTTATTAAGATTCGCCCATGCGCATATTCTATTGATGTCTTGTTGCAGTTTCAGGATGGGATTAGAGGAATCCACTGAGTTGAAGGAAAGATAAATTTGGACAACATTGGCATATAGGTGATATTGACAGTGCATGATAGAGGAAGGCAGGTCATTGATGTAGATGGAAAAGAGGGTGGGGGATAAAGAGGAACCTTGGGGGCAGGGTGGCCGAATAGGCTAAAGCGTGTGTAACAGCACCGCTAGTTGCCTGGCAACCGGATAATGTATTTTTTAGTTGTCCATAACATTAAATCCATTTGTAAATCCCAAACCAAAAAATTTGAACCAGATAACATCCCAGTTAAATTAATTGAATCTTCACTTCCATCCATTTTCCCAATCCTTTATCATATCTATAATTTTTCATTACTAAGTTTCACTTTTCCCAGCACCTGGAAATCCGCCTTTGTTTGTCCACTGAACAAAATTCCACAACCCCTAATGATTTATCTAACCTTTCCAAACCTTAAGAACAAATAGTACAATCCCAACTATCCCAATATCTCTAACAAATAACCATTTGAAAAAAAAAAAAAATAAATAAAAAAAAAAAATAAAAAAAAAAAAAAAAAAAAAAAAGAAGAAAAAAAAAAGAGGAACCTTGTGAGACACCTCTGGACAAAGGTCTGGAGCGATCAGTGAGAAAGGATTGGAACCACTTAAGGGCACTAGATGATAAAGAAATATTTGTAAGTTTGGTTAGGAGGATGTTATGGTCAACTGAGTCAAATGCTTTAGAGAAATCAAGAAGGATCAGAATGGTGAGTTTCTGTTGGTCTATGGTTGTGTGGAGATCTTGGGAGATTTTAATGAAGGGAGTAGTCAGGTCTAAAACCAGAATGGAAGCAGTTCAAATGGTTATTTGTTAGAGATATTGGGATAGTTGGGATTGTACTATTCGTTCTTAAGGTTTGGAAAGGTTAGATAAATCATTAGGGGTTGTGGAATTTTGTTCAGTGGACAAACAAAGGCGGATTTCCAGGTGCTGGGAAAAGTGGAACTTAGTAGTGAAAAATTATAGATATGATAAAGGATTGGGAAAATGGATGGAAGTGAAGATTCAATTAATTTAACTGGGATATTATCTGGTCCAAATTTTTTGGTTTGGGATTTACAAACGGATTTAATGTTATGGACAACTAAAAAATACATTCAAGAAGTCTATCCCAACAATTAGCATCCTGCAGGTAAAGAAATTAGAAGTAGAAACATGTTCTGTGCCCAACTATCCGACATTATTAAGGAATTAAAGCATCTTCTCAAATCACTACACATTTCTGAAGCTCCTCTGCAACAGAACTTCCATTCCCAAATCTTTAATTAACATTCATAGCTCCTCTAATCAAGCAGGAAAAGTAGAGAAGAAAATTTCCTACCCATCAATTTACTTAAAACAACTAGCACCAGTAACTTGTTATTCTGAAGCTAATTTAATTGTATAATAAAACAATTAAAAACTGTAATTTTGAACAGAGGAATCAATAATAAAGAAAATGTTTACAAGGATAACATTCTTCTAAAATACAAGTTAGCTTTAAGCCCAATATAGAAACAATTTCAGCTTTTTATGAGTTTATGGCCATGAACTCTTAATGAGATTAATGTCATGGCGATTTAAAAAAAAAGAAAGAAAGAGTACTTTAATCGGTAAACAGTCATCACAAGATACCAATTGTTGATTTATATAATATTGTTAGTTTAGGGATAAATAAGGTAGCACAAAAACATACTGTTTACCTCTCCCTCTTCCTACACCTAATGATGTATCATTGTCGTTATCTGACTCTGCACCAGATGAGCTCTCTAAATCAGACATATCCATTACAGCTTCATCATGGCCATATCGCTTGATCTGAGTTCTTCTACGTGGTTCATGCATCAGTAGATCATTCTGAAACCAAATATTTGATAATACTATAAAGATAAAAAGAGAAAGAGAAAGAAAGATTGCTAGACATTAATCCTAAGAAAATCAAAAGATTAATTAGTAAGCTTGAAAATATGCATTCTTACTAAAGAAATGCAGTGTTGTGGCCACATACAATATAATGTCTTTGGTATTTTAAATATTATTGCAACATCCTATATAGTTAATTCAGTGTTGTTATTTGGCAAAACATTTTTTTTGCTTATAGCTGTATTGTTGTGGATAGTACTTAAATGATTAAGGGTATCCTGATACATCCCAGCGTCGAAATGTTCGGCTACTTTAGTGAAGCTCTCAAAGGGAGTCAATTGACAAGGCAGGCAGTATAGCGCTGGATGCATGAATGACGTCAGGTCTCTCATCATACCATGCATCTCACTGCAAAATCCATGGTTATTCATTCCGGACTATAATGCAGAATTTATCCACATTTGGAACATCATTATCCTCCAGAAGGAACATCTATCCAGCGGCCCAGCTCTTCAATACGAAGGAAGTATGACCGACCGGCCACATTATGACTGGTTTTTTCGTCAAGAGGCATTTAATGGGTGAGTGACATTTTTTTTAACATACTGTGACTCTATGGGCCTCAATTTTCAAAAGGTGACATAACGGGCATTCAGTTTATTTCCCATACACCACCTTCAATTCAAGCTGGACCAGTGGATATAATGCATACCCTAAAAAGTTAAAAGTCTCTGGTTCAAGATTGAGTTCAGATTCTTTTTTTTTTTTTTTTTAATACCATTTTTTGATCATGCATGAATTTAAAATATCATAATATATATTTTAAATTAATTTATCAATTAAATTAATTTCAGAAACTATTGTAATTATCCATAATTCATATTAATAGTATAAATAGCAGAGGTATAAATTTATTTTTAAATTAACGAATTTATTTTCCTGCACGTAAACTATCAAGGGCATTTAAAAATCTTGAACGAGATTGGGGAAAAGAGTAGATAAGCTACCAAAGTGATTATTTATCAAGAAAATCTGAATTTGATACAGATTTATTTTTGATACAAAAATACCAAGTTAGATGCTGAGAGACAAGATAGCTTAGTGTTTTAATAAACCCGGCCTGGATGGGTTGAAATTAATTTTATGGGAACCCACAGACTAAATCCGGCCTTCTCATTCTGGCAAGTAATAGTTTGGTTTTAGAGTTAAGTCATAAATATGAATATATAATAAATAAATGAAAATAACAAAACCATTTTTTCCAATATACAATTCTCAATAAATATAAATGTTTAGTTTGAGTTGTAGACTAATAAGGCTAGCTAATTGTTGATTAGTAAGATTACTTACTCCTTCATCTCTTTCAGAAGTGTCAATATCGGCTTTTTTTGCCCATTTTTTCCAAAAGTCTGGATCATCAATGTCTATATCAGCTCGAATACCGGATGAGGCAAAACTTGCTTTAGAAAATGTTGAACCCTTTTCACTTTCCAAGGTAATTACAGTTGTTCTTCTTTCAAGAATTTGATCAATATCTTCTTCACAAAATTTGTCTGCAGCACTATCTTCTTCCATGATTGCACCATAAGCACCTAAAATCAAAGTTTTTAAATATAAATAACCAATAAAATATAGACTACTTACAGTATGTACAGAGTGGAAAAAAAAAAGCAAACAACCGCATGATTAAATTATGCTAGAATATAATCAAAAACATGCCTTTAATTAAAGAATAGTTAAACAATGAGCAAATTTTTTTTACATTAACTCTTTATAGGTAACAGGTCGATTATCAATCAAACCGATATATCCATCCTCTCATAGTTTAAAAAAAAAAAAAAAAAGCTGTGTCTATCTTAGTTTTGATGATAAATCGGTTATATATTTATTTATTAAAATACAATCTGTTGCTCATTAGTTATTAAGTTTCACTAGATTAATAAGATAAATATAATTTATAAAAAGTGTGAGTAATTTTGCAATTATTTTTTAATGCATTCAGCTGATTTCAAAAGAAAATTTAATCAAAAATTTCAAAATCAATTTTTCTTCATTAACATTTTTTTTTTTTCATACCTTACTTCATTTTACACTTCATGTAACTGACTTTTATTTCAGGTTTTAAGACTGTAAAAGTGATATGTCCATTGTGGTCTATGATACTTATGGGGGTCATTTATGGGATTTTTTTTTTTTTTTTTTTATGTTCAATTTTGAACTCTGCAGCAAACCAGAATAGTTTAAAGATATCCAATTGTCGATTTGTAGTATTCAAAAATTTGGTTTTTGCAGATGGTTCAGAAATGGCTGAGTTGCCTTCTGATTTTTAACTGTTAATATTGACGATTGATAGATACCTTTATATTATTTATTTATATTTTTATTTAAAGCATGTGGAAACGGTCGTAGCAATTCATTAGCTGGTTAGCCCCCATTCGTCTAACCCGTGGTGCTCCTTTCCTTATAGTCCTATAGCCCGTGACAAAAAAGGTGTCATATTTCATACTAAGGTTTATCCTTATAAATTAACCATATCCACAGGCCTGATAAGAAAAATGCATGTCTGCCAGCATATAGCAGCTTGAATACAAAATGGGATGTGAAGATAGAAGAGACGTTACATAGGCTGCAAGCTTATATATAGAGAGAGAGCTTGTAGATATATAAAGCTACCAATACTTTCAATTTATGTTATTTACAGTCTTATGACCTGAAATAAAAGTCAGTTACCCCTTATACTCGTACATTTCAAGTCGAAAAATTGAATTTATGATTCAAAAAGTTTACTTTTTTCAGTTTTTCGCTTATATCAGTGAAACTATGAGTTATATCTATAATAGTGTGATATGTAAAATTAAAGCTGACAAAATTTGCAATAGAAATCTTATTCATTCGTTATATTCTATAGTTCTATATTCTGTTGAGTCATCAATGCTGTTAATTAAAATTATATATTTTTATATCTTCTGATTGTGGATATTAGGAATTAGATAAATTAAAAAGATGTAAAATGCATACTGAGGTTAAAGTTGTTTATGGTTATTAAAGTTTATTAATTAAAGTTAGCACGTTAAGTAAAAGGAAAAAAAAGAGATAGGGAGTCTTGCGCAAAAAATTCAGAGATTTTCAAGGATTCCTTCTTCAGAGAGAAAACATGTGATTTACATCTCAAAGCAGCCTATGTATTTGCTGGTATTCCTCTTTTGTTTAATTCTCTGATGTAAAAGGCACAACCGTCGAAGATATGGACCATTGTATTCTCTCTCCATACTTCTAACAAATAGGCGAGTTTTCTTTCATAATTAAGTGAAGGTGTGTAAGCCTGGTATGACCAATTCTTAGTGGTGTAAGGACAACTTCCTCTATGTGTTTACTGTGACTGGAACTGCTCCACATGGCTTCACTTCCTTTTTTATCACTATTAATTTATTTGGAGGGTCGCTGTCCCATAGTGTCTACAAATCTTGGTGTATGGTCTCTCTCAGGGGTAGCGCAAATCCAGACGCAGTTAGGAAAGCTTTACCACGTCCTGGAAGAGTAAGAGCTTCTTTTGCTGCTCAGTCAGGCATTTTATTCTCATCATTGTCTACATGACCAAGAGACCATAAAAAATGTACTAATGTTCCAATGTTACTAGCTCTTTTATAAGCCCCAAAATACTATATATTCCTAGGTGGTCTGAATACATGTTGTTCATGGCTTTAAGGCCGCACAAAGAATCTGATACCACAATCACATTTACAACTGGCGAATTTACCACATGTCGTAGAGCCATCGTGATAGCATTAATGTCAGCGGTATATATGGAACAAAGTGGATGTAGTTTACATTTATAAGTAGCATCAGGTGTGACGAAGGCGGATGCTGTTGATTTGTCTGATTTAGAACCATCGTTGAATATTAATAATATTACTACATTAAATTAATATTACTATTGTTGAATATGTAACAGTTGTTTATATTTTGCAGGTTCCATATTTTTTTATTAAATTTGGAGAGCAGTAGATTTAATTTAGGCTGTATAAAAGTCCCAGGAGGTATGCCATTTTGAATTATATTTAAGTTGATCAGTTTCAGCTTACATATTGCAAACATCATCCTTTCTGTTAATGGCAGTGTTACATTAACAGATCCAATCTTAACCAAAGATTGTTTAAGACCTTCAATCCAATTCTGAAGCTAGCTGAACATAATGTAAACATTAAATGGAAGCCAATGCATTTTAGGATCCCAAACAACGAACCTGATGAATTAGCCAGGAGAGAGTAGGAAAATATTTCCAAAACTCCTATCTCACAAACTAATTCTTAAGCCAAAAGGAGAATTCAGGAAATTTATGATGCTAAAGCCAATAAGCACTGGCATGAAAAAGAATAGCATCAGTCAAAGATGATTCTTTAAGATCCAAGTGCAAGAAGTAAGCTATAGCACAAAGTAAAAAGGACATCCTTGAGTAGAATTACAGAAATCTATGAAGGTTACTAAAAAATACTGACAAAAAGTGTCAAGAGAAAAGCCGCAGATAGATTTTTAATTTAATCTATCTTGAAATGATAAATATCATCATCATCAGTTTTTATGGGATTAACATTCTCCCAAGGAGAAGAGGATTTGTTTATAAGAGGATCGATTAATAATAATTGGGTAGTCAGCTAAGGGAATAAATTTGAACAGTCACAACTCTAGATTTCTGGAACAGGAGATAACCAACTTGATTGGAAAAAAAAAGACTAATATGGCCAATCATCAGGCAAGTGATGCCCCATAAAGCCAGTTCCAATTATATTAAATAAAACGAATAAATAATTTTTTATTAGTAATAATTAATGAAATAAAGCAATCCAAGAACCCACACAACAATAACTACATTATGTCAAATCTTTACCCTTCTTTAACAAGTCTTCAATTTCCTTTTTCGTGAGCTGTTTGTTTGTACCTCCAACTTCTTTGCCACCTTGAGATGTATTCATACTTTGTAGCACAGCTTTATCTAAACCAAGTTTAAGAGATGCTTTATCAAACATTTCTCTCTCATAAGTATTTCTACACAACAACCTGTAAACTTTAACCATCTTTTGTTGACCGATTCTATGACATCTTGCCTGTGCCTGAAAATAAAAAAAATCAAATATTAATATGAGCTTCAAAAGAAACTTAACATGACAGGATAGAAAACTAACTTTAATGATCCTGCTTCAATAAAACTTTCTGGAGTAATTAAGAGAGGAATAATAATTGACTGTTAAAAAGTTACCTTGGATGATAAATAATATCTCTATAAATAGGTTATCTATTTATTTCTTAATAAACTTCTAGAATAAATATTTCTGATTAATTTTTTATTTTATATGTACAAGAAGAATGGTTCAGCAAAATTTAATGCTTTTTTTTTACTTTCACTTACCTAAATATGAAATATATAGTAAGGAATAGTATTGCAATCGTGAAATTTACGAAATCTGAATTTTCAACGGAAACAAACAATTCGGGTTCGCTAAGCCTTTATTATTATTACTTGTCTGCTGGTGTCAATACCTACACCATATTTGGTTTCCAGATATCCTCAGATTTGTATGTCGGGGCGCATGGCTAATACCTCGTTTCCCCCAATTCTTTGCAGCAGTTTTGTACGCCCCTTCTGTACAGAGATATAAGAGCAGCTTTTGAGCTTGTTCAGCCAATATAATGTTCTTAAGACTTGAGCTTCCACCTACAATTGCAGCGATGGCATGCCCAGCATTACCTCTATAGAAGCCATTAGGGTAGAATTCATTGTAACCGTTATCATTAAGTAGGCTAATCTTTATAGCTTTACTAATAAGATGTTGTAGACTTCAGACATTGCTTTATGCCACCACAGCTAAGCTGAGAATATTACAATGGGTCTGACAGTTATATTGTACACTCAGTATATCAAAGATGGTCACATTTATATTCAAAAATAAAAATACAAATATCATTTATATTTATGGCACTTTTGAATATAAATATGAATATTTTTGAAATCATAAAAAGAAACATCTCTCTTAAATGCTCTTGTACAAAACACTGATCAGACCAGTACTAACATATGGGTCTAAGTGATGAACAATATTAAGAGCCCAAGAAACAGCTCTCCTTCGATTTGAACGTCTTGTCTTAAGAAGAATATTCTACCCAATAATAAATATTAATCAGGAGCGATGAATGCGATCCAACAATGAGCTGATGCAGCTATATAAAGAAGCCGATGTTGTGAGGCTGATGAAAATTGGCAGATTGAGATGGGCGGGACACATTATCCGTATGTCTGAACAACATGTGCTAAGGAAGTTGGGATGAGCGGATCTTCGCCACAAGGGGGGTAGGCATACCAAGACTCAGATGGGCTGATGTAGTGGAAGCTGACACCCGAAGTATCCTTGGTATCCACAACTGGAAGGCGGCCTTTTTTTTTTTTTTTTTTTTTTTTTCTTTCTGTGTTGGCCATGAGCACCCCTAATGGGTCCATTGTGCGCAAATTTCAGTAGGTCGTTTTAATTAAAACATTAATCTTGTCGCTTCCGCGTATCTAAGTAGGCTGATTGGATTGACCGACTCATAACTTCTGGGGAAATCCATTCGTTCCTCCCCAAATACCTCCAGTCTCAGCCTTGTAAATCTATCACATCTGCATATGATGTGAAAAGCTGTTTCATTCTCCTCCTGACAGAATCTGAATAGCGGATTCATCATTACTTGGAGATTGAACATATGGTAGTTTAGCTTACAGTGACCTGTATAGATTGCTGTAGGCTTTTTAAGGGCTGCTTTGTCCATGTTCAGTAGCAGTTTACTTCTTTTTTCACATGGACCTTTAAGGAACAGCTTCGAATGTCGTTGTTTCTTGTCGGTCCAGTAATTACTAAATTTGTTCCCATAAATCTCCCTGATCCTACCCTTGGTAGTGCTGAGGCTGATTCCACAGACAGGCTCGGGAGTTACAGGAATGGTATCTGAGCTCAATCTGGCTAGTTCGTCAGCCACCTCGTTGCCTGGTATGCCCGAGTGACCAGGCACCCATTCCACTGCAACTCTATTGTGCTCAGTTAGTTCGTTAAGTGCTGTGTTGCATTCCTTAACAACCTTTGAATAAACGTAATAGTTGTTAATAGCACCTATTGCTGCCTGACTGTCGGTATAGATGGTAATCTTTTTCCCAGTCACATTGCTTCGCAGTAGGTTTTGTGCGCAATGGCAGATTGCCAGTATCTCAGATTGAAATACTGAAGCATGTCTGCCAAGTGGTATAGAAATTTTTTCTTTGATGTCTTTGCGATAGATGCCTGCTCCAGAGCCGAAGGCTGTTAGAGAGCCATCTGTGTAGCAATTTATACTGATATTTGATTTATGTTGTCTGCTGCTGTCTATCCCAACCTTATATTTTCGTACTCATCGCACCCATTATCATTATACATACAAACCTTTGAATCTTTCCTAATGAGGATGAGTTGGCTACAGTCTTTGCTTTGTGCCACCATAGCAAAGCTAAGTAAAGTATGATAGGTCTGACTGTCGTTCTGTACAGCCAGTATACCATTTTTGGTTTGAGTCTCCAATTCTTTCCTATCGCTCTTTTGCAGGCCCATAGGCATTTGAGAGCTTTACTTGTCACGTTCTGAAAGTGTTTAGTCCATGATAGATTTTGGTCCAAAATGACTCCAAGGTGTTTAACTTCCTTGCTCAGTGTCAGTTGGATACCATTGATTTCCGGCATTTTGATAAATACCTTCTTTTTCTTAGTGAAGATACACACATTAATTTTCCTAAGGTTGATGGTTAGTCCATTAATCCTGCACCAATTCCAAAGAATATTAGACACTGTACTGAGGATATCAGAGAGGCAGAGCGGCATTACTTGGAGAGAACTGGCGGTTGAGGCCTTGACTCTACAAGAGTTGTAGAGCCATTCAAGATGATGATGACTTAATTATACAATGATACACCGAGTTTAATCAAAATCGTTAGAGCCATTTTTGAGAAAATTCTTTCTTTTTGGCGTTTTGCTGTGGCATAATTTGTCAAGTACCTTTACATAACCTTTATTAGTAAAGTAAAACAAAATTATTTCTAATTTCTTGGATAGGTCATCTAGGTCACGAAATGCATTGTAGAAGAACTATTTTATTTTTTTAAATATGAAAACGACACCAACATTTGAGTATCTTGGTACATAAAACAGTATGACATAGCAATTGCTGGTATCAATATTTTTCACTGAGTCTACAGCTAATTTCTAAGATTATAACTAATTAGCTGTGGTAGAAATTCTTTTATTTCTATACTTAATTTGTTTTAGAGAGAAAGTATTGTGTTGATAATGACAAATCACTTTTCTTGTGAGTGATTTATTTTCCTAGAAGTAAGCGATATCACCCAAGAAATAAAAAGTTCTAGAATCACAAATTGAAATAATTTTCAAACAATGTTGATATCTCAGCAATAAACACTTTGAATAGACATTCTCCTCTAAAACTCTAAAGCGTTTCACCTACTGTGATATGTTGAGATGATGTGTAGTAATTGCCACAATTTTTTCAAAACTAATCCACAACTCTTAAAAAGCTGTAAATATATCTGAAGACTTCCTTCTATATTTCCTAGATATTCTTGTAATCAAATATTCTTGTAATTTCATCTGGGTCATCGTCGCTCAAAAATAACTGGTCTAATATTTGGAGAAAAAAATCTTCAGGATTGAACTTGCAGATTTCCAAAACTCTAGCCATGAACAACAATCCTTTAAACACATTTACCTCTAAAAAATCTATAGTTGATATAAACCACTGCTTTGATAATGTCAGAAGCAGGTGTTTTAGTATATTTTGAACAAACCAGATTCTTTTTCAAAATTGTCTCTTGATCTATTCCTGGTTTAAATTCTCTATCTTTATATGAATCTGACTATGAACCGCAATATTGTTCAGCATTGAAATCATATATCACATATTAAAACTTGGTCATCTGATTCCATAATTTCTTCTATGTTTCACAATCTTCCTCTTGAATCGTTCTATAAGAACTTCTTTGGGAATAGTGAAAATCCTTCTGCTACCCATAAAAAAGGATAATGGTATAAAAAAAACGTATTTAATATTTTTAAAATCATTAAATTTTAAGTAAGGTGGGTGGGTAGCTTTCGCACCCAGTTCAAAGAAAAAAAAGACAAGGAAATGTAAGTGTAAGACATAGGATTCCTGAAGTAACATCCTTCTAATTAATGGATTAATAAGGTATCAATGAAAATGTTCCGTCATAGGTTGGATCGGACCCTTACCTAATCATTAGTACAAAGGGTCACGTAAAAAATTTAAACACATCGATGAAAAGACAACCAATAAATTCAATATTAGCTCACGATATATGAATTTTAGATCTAAGGCAAGCATGTCAAACTCAAATAAAACACTTGTTACCATAAAAACTGACATATTTAAAAGGTGGAATGTATATAATAAAAAAAAATTTTAAACTTTCAAAAAAGTAAATTTTGTTTTTATTTAAATGATGGTTTTTTTCACATAATATCAAGTGGCTAAGAAAAATAAATACTGAAACATTTGAAGAATGTCAAAACTTAATTTTTATTCTATAATACAAATTGCACACAAAGTAACAAAAAAAATGAAATTTTAATTTAGAAAATTTAAAGATCATTAAATTAGTCTTCATTAAATCCAAGCTATCCTGTTATCTCTATTTAGAGGCAAGATTGTTTTTCAAGGAAAATTGAAAAACAAAACACCATTATTTAACAATTTTAGACCATTTTCATGATTATTATAACTGTATAATTTAATTTTTAAAAATTCATTTTTATAACAATATTTTAATCATTAAAAATATTAAACTTTTAATATCTGAACATTCAAGATAAAAAAAAATACAATGTTGATTTGTAAAATAGAGAAAAGATAAAATCTAAAAACATCACTAAATAATTACCTGCTGGGGTTAAGAGTAAGAATAGTTATAAAATGGTCTGGAATTAGTTTATTTTAGTGAAGTACGTCACCTATTGGTTTATCTATCTAGTTATCTATGTTTAATGCATGTAATTTATGCGAAAAAGTTTTTCAAATCATTGTTCTAGCAATATAAATTTGTCTTTACAAATCTGACTCTCGTAACTTCATTAAAACTTTCTTGTTTTGGTTTCCTCAACTTGGAACGGTTGAATGTTTTTACTCCGTCAGGTAACTGATAGTGGTACATCCATAAACATTAAGTTGCTAATTTAAAAAATAAAGCACTACACTTACCTGTAAATCATTTTGTGGATTCCAATCAGAGTCATAAATAATTACTGTATCAGCAGCAGTTAGGTTTATGCCCAAGCCACCAGCTTTAGTGCATAATAAAAATACAAATCGATCAGAATCAGGCTTGCAATATCGATCAATTGCAGCCTGCCTTAAATTGCCACGAATTCTTCCATCTATCCTTTCAAATGGATATCTACAAAATGATAAAAATTAAATTAATAACTCATGATACACTATAATTATGTAATTTGAACATATTTTTGTAAAAAAAAGTCCCTTTTCTCACCATTTACTGATGATAGCACATACATGAACCAGGGACACATGTTAGACAAGGAAAAACATAAATCTTTAAATTAATAATTGTTTAATGGGTGATAAATATTTAGGACGTAGTCATTGTAAAGTTTTTATTAGTGCCGACGTTTCAACGCAATCATGTGGGTCATCATCAGGGCGCGTTTCGAGCACTGAAGGTATTGAAGTACTATTACAAGTAACTACCAAATACCAGTACTTTAATACCTTCAGTGCTCGAAACACCCCCTGAAGATGACCCTAATGTTTGGGTTGAAACGTCGGCACTAATAAAAATTTTATGATGACTGCGTCCTGAATATTCATCAATCATGATATGTAGAACAGTCGATTAACTTCCTCCAATAAATTGTTAAAACAATGTTCACTATTTATCACCAAGGATAACTCTTTATAAATCTATTCTAAATTGTTTAAAAAGGTGAGTTCTATTCCTCTAGAATGCTCGCAGATATCACTGAAATCAAATCATTGGTAGAGACATTCACTTCTAGAAACTTAAATAGTGGCCCCTGTTTTGTACTTTACTGTTTTGTACTCCTGTTTAAACTCCTATCATAATTAATGTAAGGGATTGTAAAGGAATAATTGGATGTTTTGCAAAGTTCTCATTGTTTTTGTGAAATTAAATATGATGAAAAAATAAACATTTTTTTTTTTTTATTTCTTAATGATATTTATAACTGTATTAAATAAATACATCTACTAAATAAAAAAATAAACATAATTATATAAGATTGAAACAAAATTATATATTATCTAAGAGACGTTACAAAGAAAACAAAACAATGAAACTACTGGTCTTCCAATTATATATTCGTGTTAAATTGCAAACGTTAAATAAAAAATTGAAGATATTTAGCAAAGTATTTTTGAATTAAGTTTTATTATTATAATTATATCATTATTACAAATACAATAGAGGGCATCTTAAAACGAGCTACGCATAGAATAAGAGAAATTAAATTTTTAAAAATAAATAAAATAATAAATTTAAAAAAAAAATTGTTTAATTTTGTTGGACAATTAAATTATTGCATTAATATTGGTTTGTTAATACAATCAATATAATGGACAAAAAAACGTTATTATAGCACTATAACTAAGCCATTTAAGAGTACTGAATGGTGTGGTATCTACCTATAGGCACCCACGCCAGTACCGCTTAAGTACATTTTCTACGAGACTGCTTCAAATATTTTAAAAATTAATCAGTGTTTTATAAAGAAAAATATTAACTCCAGATGTTTTATTTGAGCACATTTTGCGTTATTATTGGCTATTACAAACGACGCTTGATTTCTAACTTGAAAATTTTTTTGTTAAAAAAATTGACTTTGCAGCTGTTTTTTATTATCTAAGCCAATTGTTTTTTTAATATTTTTCCATGTTTTATTATTTTCTGACTATCCGGCTTTAATAAAGGACCAACTATGAAGAAATTAAGCCAAATGCTGATTCTCAATGACCAAATAACTAACTAAAGCCAAAGTCGTCAGTCGGCCATGTTTGGGGCAGTTCCTTTACTTTTTTTGTGGGAACATTGGTTTTTTTTTAATAAATAGTTACAAGAATAATGGACAGAATAGTTTAATGATAATGGACGCAATTAAATCTACCCCCACGGCCGTTATGCAGGTAATGCCGGGCATGGCACCCCACCACTGCAGCTGGAGGTTGAAAGCTCAAACCCTAAGAACACTGTATAGACTAAAAAATATAAATAGCTGTTCTAATATACTTGTTCAGGAGGTACAAGGTGCTATAAGGGATGGAGTATGACACTCTGCTAGGTCTACCGACCCAGAGTCGCCCCACAGCCAGTGAAACTGAACAAATAATTTTTCTGCCATGAGCCGGGATTCGAACCTGGAACCTTGCATTGGAAGCTCAGCACCTTACCCCATAAGATTGATACCTACTTAATAATTTTTTTAGCAACCCCTAACTTCCTTCCAACTAAAGATCAAATAGAACAAGCCATTTTTAAAGTATAGACATATCTAAGAAAATACTTTTGCATGTGTCTAATTGAAAATAATGAATGGAATGTTTTGAAATCTCTTGGCATAAAACAGAAGCAAAAAAGACAGTCCAGACATGCTGAGTTCCTGAAGAATCATGTCCACTTAAGACTGGAGCATAGTTGGCCAGCAAGAAAATTACATCTCTGTACAAGAGAGATGGAGTAGATATTCTAAAGGCCTAGCAAGGAGCCAGGTGACCGGGGAGGAGAGAGAAGAATGCAGAGAGTTCCTAATTAATTACTTTTAAGGCACCACCCACCCTAATCCACTTCAGTTAAAATAGTTTCTAATATAATGCATAATATGTGATGTAATGCATACCAAATTACAATGAAATACCCCTACATACAGTCCACAGCAGTCAAATTAGAATCAGTGCTCAACATCATGATTATTAAGTCAATATCCCTGACAGCCGTGGAAGAGATTGGCTTAATAAATTAAACAATATATCTTCCCACACATTCTCTGTAAATTTCATCATAATCAGATTAATGGTGGTATATTTTATGTCTGTCATATTAACTATGGAACCAAGATTACTAAAAACCAATTTCCTTCATATTCTTTATTGTCTAAAATACAAATCGTGAGTGAAAAATTTTGATTCTGAGGACAAAATCTTTTGAACCTTCTGAATGAATACAAACCCTTCTTCAGACAAAAAATTGTTTGGGTACTTATTTTTTAATGTACTAATAAATATAAAGGAAATGCCCAAGTTTGAAAAAAAGTCCTGACTTTTCAAGAAATATGAAATTCTACCAGATTCTACGTTTCCTGTGTCTGTAGGCACTTTGACCTAACCAGAGAATGTGCTTTAACTACATATTGAACGAATTTCCGTTTATCACATAAGACAAATTAAATAACGGGCAGTTAGTTAATTGACAAATTAAGAAACTGATGAAGAATGAAGGCTTTGAGAAAATTATGAATGAAAAAAAAAAAAACATCCATGGGTCACTTTTTGATCTGTCGTTGAAAACTTTCAAGGCGATAATAAAGATCCTGAGGATGCGGTGGCCAAAGAGTATAATGATGTCACCTTAAGTCAAAAGTGGTGGATCTTTCTGACATCCTTAAATTAACTACTTTGCAGAAAATTGAGGACCTTATGATGAAAAACAAAGTGAATGCTTTCACAAGAATACTAAAGAAACGTAAAAATATACTAGGGGAATTGGAATAAGTCTATGATGGCGGTCTATTTCTGTATCTTTAAGAAAGACAATAAAAATACAAGATCCGCAAGAAATTTTGAAAATTGATGAAACATTACTTTTCGTTTTGGTGTTTTCATTGAAATATTTTTTTTAAATGTTTGTAACAAAAGCTGTCATTGTCTGAAGTAAGGTTGATATGTCTGTGCTAGAAATAGTTCAAAAATCTTGAAACCAAAATTCTTACTTTGTTTATATAACTTTATTCCAGAACATATATTTTAGATAAATCAGCTGACAAATAAGTTTCAAAATACTGACTGATGTTATCAAATATCATGAGGCATACAAATACATTAAGCTCATCAATCACATATAACTAAAATTACTTACTTCCTGTACATTAAATAGTCTTCAAGTATGTCTAGACACCGAACCATTTGAGAAAATATTAAAACTCTATGCCCGCTGCTTTTCAGCTTGGGCAGCAGTTTGTCAATAAGCACCATTTTACCAGATGAACTTATAAGAGCTTTATAATAAGAATCAGGATCGTCTCCATGCTGTTGCTTAAAATCATGCTGAATTTGATCTTCCGCTCCTAAAAAAAAATTAGTTATCAAATATGATTAATACAATGAAACAGTTCATTGATTTACACATATAGCTGATAGCATTTAAATGGTTATTAAAACTAGAAACAACTATAAGCAACATTCTGTTACACTATTAGAACATTATGATACTTAAATACAAATTTATAAGGATTTTAACTCAAGGAGAAAATAGTAAATTATGTTACCATGATCATTAGCAATTTTGAAATTAACTTGAAGCTAATGAACTACACCATTTAATTTTAATTGTTTCTCTCTCTAATACTTGTAAGTAAAATCTTTGACCTTTAGTTTCTTTGGCATATTCTGTGATATGACAAGTTAGAACTAATGTAAAGCATTTAAACACGTAGGAAGGAGCATGGTTTCTTGATAGTATTACTACAGCATAGATTTAAATATTTAATAAAGCAATTGCATTTATTTATCAGTTGCTCAGAAATTAATGACAGCTGGTTAGTTATATGACAGTCCAGTTAGGCCTAAGTCTGTGACGGGTCCATGTTACCCACTCCTTTGGTGTAGTGTTTCACATCCGCTCGAAATTGTCATATCGAATCCAAAAAATGTCACGAATGTAGTCAGAGCAGATTATGAGTGCGGTACAAAATTTGAAGAAAATACGAGTATCTTTGGAATAAATTGAAGGCAAAGGAAAGCTGCTCATAGCCCAGATCTCCTTATCTATCATGAGGACAGAGATGGGCAAATTTATATTCAAAAATATAAATACGAATACCATTAAATATAAATTTTACGGTCCTTATGAATATATTTATATTCATAAAAAGATCTTTGAATATAGATGATACATATTCACGGCTGTAAATATAAATACGGCTACGGCCGTATTCACGACTGTAAAAGTGAATACGACAGTATTCATGTTTATTAAAATGAATATGAACACGACAGTATTCATGTTTATTAAAATGAATACCCTTAAATTTACAGAAGTGGATGAAAATATTTTCACATAACCTTATCAATAAACACTTATTATTTATTTAAAAAATATATAATTACTATATATATTATTTTAATTTTATATATAGTATTATAGTCTTTGTTTTAAAATATGTTATGTTACAATGTATTATGTTATGTTAATTATCACTCATAATGTTTCTAGGTAATATAAATTCCCGAGCCTTTGTATTTAAACTTGTAAAAGTGTAAATACGAGTGTATTCTGGTTTATTAAAATGAATACGCTTAAATTTACAGAAGTGAATGGAAATATTGTCACACAACCTTATTAATGAATACTGTTATTTATTAAAAAATTTTTTTTATTAAATTATTTATTTTAAAAAATATATATTTACTACATATATCATTTTATTTATAAATATAGTATTATAGTCTTTGTTTTACAATATATTATGTTAATTATGTTACAATGTACTGTTATGTTAATTATCATTCGTAATGTATCTACGTAATAGTTAATGATATGGATAACGTTCGGTTCCGCAGAAACATCACACATTAACTTTGCCACCTACATTCCAAAAAACATACAGAATACCACTTTGCCACCAAAGTTATAACCAAAGACATGATCATTTTGATTTTAGGTTAGTAAATCTGGTGATGAAGGAGCGGGATAATAGCTTAGTGGTAGGGCACTTAACTTCCAGTGCTTGATGTCCCAGGTACGATTCTCAGCTTATGGCAGAAAAATTATTTATTCTGATCCTGGAGTAAGGAGAACCTCCTGGGGCACACCTATTCTCTACAAGTGGGTACCCTTAATTAATTATTTTAATTAAGGGAGAAACGTAGTGCGGGCTCATTACCGCGTATGGGGAGTGTGGAAATTTCTTCGAAGTTACTCCCGGCTAAGTCCGATGGACTCGGTGATCAACAATGAGGGGCTCTCCAGACTTGCAGAAGGTGTGACGGTCCCCATAGTATTGCATAGAATATTCGGACCGAAGAAGGATGAATTAACCGGAGAGATCAGACGGTTACACAACGCTGAACTGTATCCGGGTAATATAACTGAGGAGATTTCATACCGGCGAATCAAATGGGCTTGTAAAATTGTTGGGCATAGTAACGAGAGAATTCCCAAAAGGTTAATATTTGCTGTACCGAATGGTAAACGTCCAAGAGGTAGACCGAAGCGAAGGTGGGAAGATTGCATTAAAGCTGATCGGAAGGGACTAGGTTTGGACGGCGAACGGTGGAAGGAAGTGTGTAGTAAGCGATAGATGGTGTCGGCATCGAACCTTCGGGTTCGCTAAGCCTTTTATTATTAAGGGAGAAAATCTAGCGATTAAGCGTGATCCTGGCTCAATCTCCTCCCTGCTCACCATTGGCCTTGAAACAGTACTTTCCCTAAATAGTACTGAACCCCCTTCATGGGTTGTAGTGGTGCAAGTTGTTTTTTTAAAATCTGTTGATGACCATGTACACTTGCAAATAAAATTGCATTTAAACATTGATTTGAACATTAGTTAATTAATTTGGAATTTGTTTGAAATGGCTAATTTTATTGGTTTAATTCAATTACCATTGATATATTTTTAACTTCCTTAACTGATTGTAATCTAAATGTCTTGCCTTTGTATTTCTTACTTCTAATATTATTTTCATTCAGTGTCAGGTAGTTCGCTGTATTGCCTGCCGCTACATTAAAAATTATGCTTTAATGCATAATTTTTACTTATAGAATTTATATTTTACTGCCAACTTATTTTCTCACTATTAAACCAACATTTTCACATTCCCTAACTTCCACGAGGAACAACACTTATAGTATACAGGATGATATAATAATAATAATATTAATATTATATAGTAAATATAGTAAACAGGATACAATAATAAAGGAAGCAAATTATTAACAAACAGAAAATGAACATTTAAACTAGTAGGCAAAAGTCAGATTAATATAAAATACACCTACCGTTAAGAAGATATGGATGAATACAACATTTTCTTAATTCCATCATAGTGTTCATGAGATTTGGTACATTCGCAGACGTAGTTCCTTTAGATAAAAAAGAAAAATTTCGTTCTAATATACCCCTGTAATACTTTTTTTGGATATTTGTCAGTTCCACCTTTAAAAACAAACAACAAAATAATTATTACTATTATTATAAATAAAAGTGACGGAAGTGCTGGAAAATTCTAAATTATTTCTTTCTCCAAGCTAAAAAGAAAAATCTCTTGCTCAAAAGTAGTTGAAATTCACAACCACAGCTCATTTCTCTCAAAAAGATCACATCTATGTACATAAATGATAAGTTGTTGCATGTCCCTCACAGTAGGGCAAAAATAGTCAGACCTCCAACACCATTCATCTTCACTAATTTAAAGAAGTAGCTCCATGGCAAGAATCTCCTTGGAGCCGACATGGAAAAAGGTCAATTCCACATTGGACAAGCGACCTTGAGTGTGCACTCAACTAAGAACTTTGACAATGAAATGATGACAAGCTGAGCTAGTTTTACATAGCTGCAGGGAAGCAGCCAGAGCCGGGAAGATGAGACCACATACCTTTATCACCACCATAAAACCTCTATAACCAATAATCCAATTTGACCCTTCAGGTAATGAGCACATGTGTATGCAATAGCAGCAAAATACATCCTTTTATCAATTAAAATCTTAATTATATACAGTCCACTATCTTTATATCAGTTATCAGTTGAGTTTAAATGTGTCATATCCATACAAACGGAAGGTTACTTAAACACGGTGTATTCTATACATTAAATATTAAATAATACCAGCAATAGTATTTATAAAACCGAATATGTATAGGAACATAATATTGTCGGAGAACGTATTATATGAAGCTCATGGTACGTATGAAAACCTGTCGTAATCTTTCGGGTAAGCTTGTATTCCTTTGATTCCTCTATTGCAACTATTATCCCTAAAGATCTCATATTTTTCCTTTAGTTAATAATCAAATTATTTTATATATAACTATTAATAAATTTTATTTTATTTTTATTTATTATTTATTCAAATAAATTTTGCCCAACTATGCTACTTAACTGGACGCATCAACCATTTTGACAAACAGAAAATGAACATTTAAACTAGTAGGCAAAAGTCAGATTAATACAAAATTATGATGATCAATCCAGTTCTAATGTAATAAAGAAGAATGCACTTTCAGTACTATTTGCCATTCTGAGCAGATTTTTAGCAGAGATAAAGCAAATTTAATACAGCAGTCCTGAAAACAAAGAAAGTTTTTGTTTCAATTATTTCAATTTTCATTCCTTTCCAGTTGAAAATTATATTACAAAGCCCGTCATCCTTCCCATTGAAGAGCATAATGGTCACATGACTTATTATATCAATGATTTGTCTCACAAAGAAAGTATATATTAATTGCACTTCACCCCAAAGCAATATATATTCTGCAATCACAGATTTATCTGCGTTTCTTCCAATCATACAAGGAAGATTAAATAAATCACAGATTTATCTGCGTTTCTTCCAATCATACAAGGAAGAATAAATAAAGTTCCTGCATGGAAAAGTGAAATCCTAGACAAATCGATAACTAAAAAGCTGTTTGAACAGTTTTTATAATGTTTTTCTTTTAGAGTCTTCTATCTAATATTTAAAAACTGTTTGAAATCCTTTGGTCTGTTTTTATGAAATTTTTATGTTAATTTTTTAGAAAACATTTGGAACATACGGATGAAACCAAAGAGGGGTGGGGTACAACACCCCACATTTTTCCTTTTTCTGAGTAGGTTCAGAGTTGGTTTGTTGTTTGTCTTTGTGTAGCCACCTACCTGCATATCTATATAGTAAACATTTCTGCACAATGCCATTTAAGTTCTTTACCAACTTACTTACTAATTTACCAACTTACTAATTAATATTTTATTATGCTTAAAACAAACTAATTAAGATTTTTATTTCTAAACACTATTTCCTCGTACGGGCTCATTACTGCCTCAGAAAGGGCCCCACAGGTGGCGGATGTGAGAATGGTCGACGGAAATTCCTTGGGAAGTTCATCCCGGCTAAGTCTGATGGAGTCGCTGGCCAACAATGAGAGGGGCCCTCCAGACTTGCTCAAGGGTGACGTAGGATTGAACGCCCTACTCACATATCTTTAGTTCATCATATACCACAAATAGTCATAGATCTTCCGAAGATAAAACACTAGTACCCCGTTCACATCTCCGGGTGGAGACTGTTAGGTGATTCATAGAATTGGACAAACTAAATGCCATATCTTGAAGAGCTCTAGTTACGACATATGATGAAATTAGTTAAGGAAGTAATAAGAGGTGAAATAATTCTTAACTATCAGATAATATCCGTAGAAAAATATGAATCCAACCAAAAAAAAAGTATTATTTAACACTCAAAAATTTAATTAATCATTAACATAAAAATATCTATCTAAATTATGATTTATATATATAAAAATAAGCCATTAAGCGTCAACAGAATTTAAAATACCTCAACAACTGTTTCTTCTTTGGGTGCCAATGTTTTTTCAACATCTTCCTTTAAACGTCTTAACATCATAGGTTTCAATAATATTTGCAATTTTTGTACTTCTGTTTCATCCTTGAGAGCCCCAAACTCATTCAGAAAGGCTTCACTTGATGCAAATTGCTGAGGTTCAAGGAAATTAAGAAGAGAAAACAATTCATTGACATTATTTTGTAGTGGTGTTCCAGACAATAATACACGATGTTCCTAAATGAATAAACCCAAAAATAGACAATAATTAGAGCAAAACTAAAGTAAATAACAAACATTATTAGATTATTATAGGCAAATTCCAAACCAAAGACTAATCTAATAATATACAAGGTATTATTATTTTTCAGTAAAAGTTTGGACCAGTTGATGAAATATGTGAGTGGCTTCATATCAAAGATTGACATCTGTTGTTTTTAAAAAGTGCAGAAAAAGACAATTTTTGTTTTATAAGTTAAACTCAAAACTGTTTCTGATGATTTTATTTAAAAATGAACACAAGTTGAATGAGGAAAAACATTCATTAGAATTGGTCTAAATTGAAGCTTTATTACAAGAAAAAGACAATTTTTGTTTTATAAGTTAAACTCAAACTGTGTCTGATGATTTTATTTAAAAACGAACAAGTTAAATTAGGAAAAACAATCATTAGAACTGGTCTAAATTGAAGCTATATTACAAAAATTGGCCTTTTTTTTAAAAATGACAGATTTCCGTCTTAGATATAAGGCCACTGATATTAATTTGTTTAGTCTGCATTAATTATTTACTAGTTAGCCTGTACGAACAATTCACATAGTATGTCAGTCAATGAATATGTGACAACATAATGCGGAAATAAATAAATGAAATGTATTATGAGAGGGAGGAATTTTTTTCCTCCTCACTTCATAATATGTGTTCAAATTAGGCTGTATCATTGCTAATAACTGCCAATTTTGATTACTTTTATTATATTTTTACAGAGATTTCGGGAATCTTTCAAACTAACATGCTACAATTAGACTATAAATTGTACACTTCGTAAGTAATGTACAAATTAAGTTTCCTTTCATTCATAACTTTTTACTCTTGACTTATCTAGAAGTGTTTATTTTTTTCACCTCAAGAAGATATGGTCTACCCTTATGAAATGATAGATAAAAATGTTACCTATCACTGATTATAGTACTTTTTTTTTCTTATGGCGTATGATCATGACTCTTCTTCCGCCATAAGATCTTTGGCAGCCCAATAAAGTCTTGTCATTTTAGACCAATCAGTATGGACAGAAGAGAAGTTCTGTCTTATTATTTATAACTTGATGCCATTGGAGAATATGCTGCTAATAAGCAACAAGAGTCATCACTCAGATCCAGTGGAGATGAGAATTCAGACAGTCATAGCCAGTGATTGATCAGAAAGCATCAACCAACATATGCCAGAGTAGATCAGATGGAACATGACTATTTGGATCGAGAAGGACAGCCAACTGTTTCCCTTCTGCACACTCTTGGTAAAATTGTTGCATTTAATCTTTTAGGTTTGTTTAAATATATCTTTCAGCAGCAAAAAATTAAGTTGCTGAGGGAGGCATGACCATCTGGACACCTTTTTTTGGCTAGGACATAAGCTTTTTTTTTTGGGGGTACTACCCTTCCTCGCCTTTAAGGCTATACAGGATTTTTCCGGGTCAGGGAGTGTGGACGTGGATTTCAAAGACTCCCCCAGCACCGGGACGTAAACTCGTGACTATTTTAAATCTATTGTCTCATAGATCAGATTGCCGGACAACAGCGGTGCTGTGCACACACGTTAGCCCATTCAGCCACCCCGTCCACTTAGGACATAAGCTTGTTCATTACCTGAGATGCATAATGGGATCCATTGCAGCACCACGATTGACTTCTTGATGACAAGCTCATCAGAAATTCATCGTCCCTCTAGAACATCACAGGAATTGTTCTAACCTTTGGTACTTAAATCTTACAAGTTTCAGAGAATGACTGCTCCGGTGCAATTTATAGACATTATCATTTTAAGAGCCATTGCAACAGCACAGATTTCTTCATCAAAGTTACTGGCAAGACAACCAACATGCACAGCTAAAGACTGAAATTCCGAATACACACCCACTTCTCCAATTTCGTCTCACTTCAGTGGCTGATTTAATGGTGTGTACCAACTACCATTCTTCTTCCAAAAATTGAATATGTAAAGTCTCAAAGTCCTTGAGCTCAGTGGCAGATGTATTTTGTTAGGAGAAAGCTGATGTCATGGAACCATCTTGAGTTGATGGGAACGGGTTCGGGGTTCTGGAGGGGCAGGGTCAGCCTGCATAAACTCTGTCAAAAGCAGTCTTAAAGTCAATGAATACAGCAAGAGTACTCGGCTTATGATGGTACCCATTCTAAATTCTTGGGTGAAATGAAAAAATTGCTTTGTGGTGTTCCTATTCTTTGTAAAACCTATCTGCTCGAAGAAAAGGAGACCAGAACGATCTAAGTAATGTTATAGCCATCAAGTACAAGCCTTTCATACACCACAGAAAAAATACAAGTAAGTGCAATAAACACTGATTAATCATTTTTTAATACTTAAATTAAAAAATGTGATTTAGATGTATTCCAGTCTTGATTACGTTTAAATTAATAAAATATTTATTAATTAAGTATCGAAAAAAGCTTTGGTTTGGAAAGTTCAAATAATAATTCTGTCATTAAATGCAAATAAAATAAATAAATTAATAATTACCAAATTAAGGGATCGAAGGCCCTCTAGTAATTTACAGTTTCTGTTTTTTAGCCTGTGAGCTTCATCTATTACACAAATCCTCCAGCTAAAATCTTTAAGATCCTGAAAATCTGTTATAATGATTTCAAAGGTAGTAATCAAAACATTAAACTTGGGTAGCTCTTTCATTACATTGCCCTTTTCATTACGAAAATACATTTCGTATTCTTGCAACATGTTCCGACTGGCAGCACTAAAAGACAAAAAAAATAATAATAGTAATAACAATAATCAACAAGTACGCTAAAAATATAAGCAATAAAAAAATATATCAACTGATTCCTTAAAAATAGACTAACGATTATAAAATATAACCTACAAACCAACAACGCACCATAATAAATAATTACTAATGTTTTTCCCTTTAATATCTATATTTGGCTGACCACAATAATCAATCTGTCCATACTAGACATGAATAAATAAAAAATTGTTTATATACCAGCGCTTAAATAAATAAAAATATCCACAAAGAAATATATCACCATCCTCTTTTACTGGCACTCTTGTTGGATTAAAAATTTCATGGCATCAAATTATTTATTATGATTAAGTAAATAATCAAAATATAAAGGAATGTTTAGTGATGAAAAATGCATAGCTTAATAGATTAGGCAGGCGGATAGTGAATTACGACGACAAATATCACAGAAACTATAGAATATAGCGAATACACTGATATAACCATTTCTACTGCAAATTTTGTCAGCTTTAATTTCACATATCACACTATTATAGATATAACGCATAGTTTTACTAATATAAGCGAAAAAGCGATCAAAGTAAACTTTTTCAATCGTAAATTCAATTTTTTGACTTGAAATCTATGAGTATGGGGTAACTGACTTTTATTTCAGGTTTTAAGACTGTAAATAATATAAACTGAAAGTGTTGGCTATGTACACATATGCATATGCATGAGGTCATAATTTTTCAATTGTATTTTTAGTATTAATAATTAATGTGTGAAAATTAACAATGATTTGTAGTTTCAATTAATTTATCTCTCAATCAATTAATGGGAGAACGTAAAAAACTATTTATTAAAATAAGATTTTTACTAAGTTGGAATAGCGATGTGGTTTTATAGTTTTTAACACTATTGAAGGACTCGGAATAATCAAGGCTGCAGCTTACATTAAAATTTCTTCGAATTGCAATATCGTATATAACGGATATAATGATGTATCGGCTTTAACGACAACAACGCCATCTTCGATGATTAAGATGGCTTTTAAAACGTGATTTTGAATGGATATAGCGATTGGATTTACTGACTCGATTTCATAGAGCTATTAGAAAAAATGATCGTAAATAGCGACAGTTGAATTCCTAAAAGCCTTTGTGTTGATATCTCACTTATCGAGGAAATATTTTATTTCATTCATTCTCTATGTAAGAATCACATTTATAGGGCCAATTTCATTCCCACTCTTAATGTTAAATTCATATTTCTGTTTAGTAGTTTAATAAGAATAACGAAGAGCAAAAAGTTCGAGATATAAGAAAAATTCTATGTATGTTGCCAACTGGAGACTGAAGAGTCTAATAATATCTTGTCTCAAGAATTCAACATAAATCTTACAATTTGAAAAAATTGCGAATCTAATCGAGGACATGCTGAATCAGTTATATCCAAAAAATGACTACCTATCTACTCACGACAGAATCGGTTCTTCTCAATATTCAGCTATTAGACAAGGAGCTACCGACAATTTTATTTAACGGAAGAACTTATAACTAGAAACCATTTTAAATTGTAGATAAACCTCATCTGAACATATAACTTTGTTCAGTCATTTGAACACGTTCTATATGAAAATTTAAATTAAAGAGGCAAAATTTGATTGTTCATTTAACGGAAAAACTTGCGGCTGAAATTTTGAAATGACGTAAAGAATATGTTCTTAAAAGAATACACCTTGACCGACGACATCAAAGTCATCACATTAGGGCAGTCGGATGGTAGTTGGTCGAAGAAAAAATTAAAAGTCAGTTTCTTTTCGGTTTTTATGTTTTTTTTGGGATACTGATCTGAATTTGACGTTCCCGAACAAAATGTTCCATTGCGTATTGAGATATACATTAAAATTTCTGAACTTTTTTTAGTATTTTGGACATGACTCCGAAACTGTGCATTTTACCAAAATTATTATCATATAAAATGTTAAAGAAGATAAAATTTACTATCAATTTTATGCATAGCTTTTTGATGTACGGCTAACAGAGGAGCAGTAAGAGAATATTGACTGTCTGCATTTTTCACAAGAAAAATCTACTTTTGTCGGTTTTCCCCCAAAATTCTTGAAGAAATTCAATATAATCAATTTGAAAGAGCATTAAGTTTCATATGTACCTCATACAGACACGTTAATATGTAAGAAGATTAACTGCTTTTAAAGCTCAGAGAATCGAAGTCGTATTTCCCTTGTAGTATCTGTCGTTCACAAACAAAGAACTTTTTATGTTTTCAATGCTTTATTTTTGGCTAATTTACCAATTTTACAACAGAACTAGGATGTACAAACATATTACATAGCTTTTATACATTGTGTTGATATGCATAACAATCATCACACAATTAAGGACCAAAATGCGTTTTAAAGTCTGAGCGGTCCGACGACATTTAGCTCCTTCGCATATTATGACTCTACCTAAGCATGCATTATGAAGCTACCAACGTTCTCCTTTAGTTAACCAACGAATAAATGTGATGCTGCTCACTGAGGTTGTTATAACCTGCCTATAACCTTCGAACATTTCGCTGTATCTTCGAAGATAAAAAGATGGACATCCTCTAATAATGAACATCTCTGACTACCGCATTTTCATTTGAGGAGGAAAAAGAAGAGAAAATGTTGTTCATAAAGAGAAGGAATATCAGTATTTCGATGAGATGCTCATCATCAAATCCCTTCTTGGACATTGTTTGCTATTATCTAGATGAACAACCAAAAAAGAACAAAAAGGCGGGAAACGCCGTACCTGACAACAATAGTCCTCTGATATTCGATATTATTAGTTTGAAAAGTAATAGTAATTAATACATGATTGATTAGTAATAAATATCATATATTTGTAATTAAATCCCAACAGGCGATGTTTTATAGTTTTATCAATAGTAATCAGTAAATCACCACTTTAATTAAAAAATACAAATTGATTTTTCAATGGGTGGATTTTAGTATTTACCTGACGATAAAATTTGTTGGATTCTTTAATTTATTTAATATCATTTGGATTTAGGTATATTTGTATTTCGCTGTAAAATATTCGCTGGTGGAATAAATAAATAAATAAATAATCTTGTTACTTCAACCTTAAAAAAATAATTTACTATTTCATTGTTTCAGTTAATTAAAAAATATTTGTTATAATTTTGCCAGACTTGAAAGAAACATAGGAAATAAAACGTATCAACGTGACTGTTATCATCAAAACAACGCTCCGATATGATAACATAACCTACAACCCCCGAACCGCCAACAGCTCCACTGCTCCAAGAGCGGTCAGATAGCAGCAGCTTAGATATGACATCATACCTAGACTGCCGAGCAGCGCCAGCGAAATAGGTTCCTTTCTATTCTACTTAATAATTAATAAATAATTAGGACTCCCCTTATAGACAATCAAGGAAAAAATCATTTTGATTTTGATTTAATTTTATTTAAAATAACAATAATTTAAACAATATAAATAAGTTATTAGATGATCAATTCAATTTTTTTCAAATAAAAAAACTGATTCCCTTAATTGAACGTTCGGAAAATCAACGTTCCACTGTATACAAAATAATCTCTATATCGCAGACTGAAGAATACTTGTAAAAAAACCCGGTTTCATAAAATGGCGCTTAAGTTTTCTTACTATTTACTATTGTGCAATTTTTTATTGTCTAATACATTTCCTTTTTTTTCTATTTTTTGTATATTCCCCCTCTCTTTTGGGACATACCACAATAAAACAAATACAATTGAATGTTAACAATAGACAAGCTAAAAATCAAAACATTTTTAAATGCCATTTGATGAAACTAGGGTTCTTTCTTTTGAATTTTTTTTACTATTTTTTACAGTGAAAAATATGAGAATTAAGAAATACCATAAAGTCTTATGCCAATAAAGAATAAATTCATACGGCTTTGCCATATAACATATATGGAATGTAGTGAAAATACAGTAAAAGTAAAAAACTTTCAATTTTTATTTTTTGAAAAAATTACATTTCCATACATAAATATTAAAATTTACTTACGAGCCATGGTACACAATAACATTGAGATCTGTCCATGCTTCGAATTCTCGTTGCCAATTAGGAATTGTAGATAAAGGTGCTATAACAAGAAAAGGCCCTCGAATTCCATATTCATAAACAGCATGAATGAAAGTCAATGACTGTATAGTTTTTCCTAATCCCATTTCATCGGCCAATATGCAGTTGCGTCTAGAAATCAAAAAAATATATTAACTAATCTTAAGGATAAAGTAAGTAATAGACTGTACAAGAGATCTTAAAATACATACAAAACATAATAACTTAACATCACATAAAAATTATATAATTTACATTATTAAGAAAGAAATATTTACTTCCTGACTGTTACACAGCAATATCTTTGAGATGAAAAATGTAGTGAAGACTTATGATAAAGAGTATATCCTGACATTTGCCTAATAGCCCTGGAGCCAGGGCCCAAAAATCCACCTGATCGCAGGAGAAGGTTTGATGGTAAATTACAAAAGTGTATGTTATTCTGAGTAAAAAGAACCTTGTCTGCCATTCCAGAGCTGCTGCTTTCAAAAATGGCAGCTGATTTAAAGAATATTAGGCCAATAATTTGAGGATCGAAACGGGAAAATCCTTTGCGAAAAATGTAAGAAAAGTTTTTATTTTTTTAACTTATATACATGAGTTTAATGCCATAAATATACATGGTATTTGTATTTAAATTTTTGAATATAAAAATGCCCATCTCTGGAGGAGAACTTGAGTTTACAACAACAAACTGACCAAGATAATTGTTTATTGACCAGAATAGGATTTGCTAACAAATCTTGAGGGTCTTTTGTATCAATAAACAGACCAAGATATTTGACAAGCTTTACCCCAATCACTGAATTCATTTGAATCATTGTAACAAATTAACAGTAAACAAATTATAAATAACTGAATCCTGTCAAGAATATTGAATATAAAAATTATAAATCAATCCAAACTCGAGTATGGTCAAAATATTAGTCAGGAATATTGAATAAAAAAAATTTTAAGTCGATCTAAACTTGAGTATGGTCAAAATATTAGTAAATCGATACCAAAAAACATCAATTATCTTATTAAATTAAAAACATCGATGAACTGCACTAACCTCAAACTTACTGGGATATGGTAAGAGAGAAATTCAAGACAAATTCATTATTAAACTAAGTAAAAAGATCGGGGAATTAAAAATTATTCTTATTAAATTCCATTATTTACATTGGAAATAAATCAATAATTTTAATTAAATCCTCATTTTAGTCTATTTCACTGGTATACATTTGGAGTAAGCAAAACATTCACAGCAAATTAAAAAACATCTATTGCGTTTTTTATGGACAATAACCAAAGAAACTTATAGTGAAGATATATTCAAAATTGAATTTCTTTATTACTTTATCATTAAAATCGAAGAACCACAAAAAAAATATATAAATCTCCCATAGTGTGTATAGTGCCAGTAATATGGACACACTAAAACATATTGCAACCATTGACTAAACTACATGAAGTGAGGTGAATTTAATGAAAGTAATTTATGTTTAAAGATCAGGGTCACATCTGCAGAGTGTGCTAACTCTGCCAGTCTGCATCCAGCTAACTACAAATGCTGTCAAACACTGTACAATTTGAGGACCCTAGGCAGATCAAATAAACCACCTACATCAGTGTAGGGACCCCAGGCATGTATAAGTTTCCTCTAATTCGACAATGTCCTAACCAAGCAGCACCACAGATGACCACTAGACCTCAAACTAAAGCAGCACCAAATGCAGCAAACATGTAGGGGTATGAGAACAGTCATTGCTTAATTGGCACACCTGCTGTTGATAATAGCTCTTTCAAGTTATTGGATCTCCTTTTTAATTTTGCTGAAGAAGGAAGAGTGAGGGAATCTGGAATACAAATGAAAGGCACAACTTTCAACAGAACCATGCAGATATTCGAATAATTTTGACATTGTTGCCAGGTCTCAAACTGCACTGAACGAAGCATTTCTTCAACTACAAAGGACGGCTAAGAAGTTGGGACTTGTTGTCAATGAATCAAAAACTAAATATATACAAACGGATCAGAGCGATTCCGGGAAGAACATATTGAGATTGGGACATAGAAATTTGGAAGGGTGCAGCACTTTGTGTATTTGGGGCCGGAGATGAATTCAGATGGTGAAATGTCTTAAGATAAAAAAAGTCAGATCCCAGCAACAACAACAGATGCTATTTTGTCCTCGTTAAGCAATTTAAAAGTAGGTTTATAATTAATTAGAACAAAAAAGTTAGGCTTTATAAAATTTATCTTCAGCTGGTCCTCGAGTATGGATTTAAGGCTTGGACATGGAATAAGGCTGATGAAGATAGGCTGCTAATTTCCAAAAGGCCGATATTAAGAAGAATTTTCGGTCCGATATGGAAAATGGCTGAAGAAGAGAAAAAATCGGGAGATCTACAGATGTTACTAGATGGATCAGCGTGAGGAGGGTTGGATGGGCAGAACACCTGGCCAGAATGGAGGAGAGTGAAATCCCCCAAAAAATGGCAATGGAAACCCTGTTTCAAGCAAGAAGAGTGGAACAACCTAAAACGAGATGGATAGATAGCGTCCACGTCGATGCCAGGAATATTCTTAGAATAACGGACTGGATAGCTGCTGTGCAGGATAGGCATGAATGGCGAAAACATTTGGAGAGGACTCTGATTAAGCCACGAATTGTTGAATCGTATATGTATTATGTATGAACAAATGTATGTATCTATACTTAATTCAAAATAATAAAACACACAATTAACTCACCCATTATACCAAGAGAAAAGAAGCCAATTAAGACCTTCCAATTGATAAGCTCTCAATGTATTATCATTTTTATAAACAGGAGACTCTTCTAACTTAACCCACTCTTTAGAACATGGTTTCTTCTTAGGCTAAAAAAAATAAAATTTTAATATTATATAGTTCAAGAAACTAAATAATACATAATAAACCAATACTAACTTTCCATTGTTCCTTTGGAGGAAGTTTACTAAACATTTCATATTGCCTAATTTTAGCAGGATCAACATCATCTTGCAATTCCCAAGTGCTGTCTTCATATTGAAGGGATCTCCATTTGACAAGGTAATGTTTAAGTATTAATCCAGTATTTGGATCAGTATGCTCAGTAGCATCCAAAACCCTATCAACTTCAACATAATCTGGATTGAAAGGATCTTCTTCTAACTGAAAGAGAACAGATTTATATAACTACATAATAATTAAACAGAATGCTTATAAGAAAATAACCAAATCAACCTTGTTCTAACAGTAATTGAACTTCAGAATACTTAAGCCAAGTTTAGGTCGTTTACTAGCAATGTTTTAGCCACTTTTAATTTAAGTGAATTAACCTAACTAATTTGTTTATCTCAAGTATAGCCTAGCATTTTTAAAATACTGATGTTTCAATGGTATTAAAAAAAAAAATTGGTGATTATTGTAGGTCCAGTTCAAGTAAATTATTATACAGAATCATTGAGTAAAGTTCAAAGTTAAACTTAATTTCAGAAAATAAATATTTCCATTCCTTCTATGAAATATATTCTGTAAACACAGACAATACTTTTTAAATAAGTATGAAAGAACAAATTATTATAGAAAATGGAATTGTCATGGAAGTAAAATACTTAAGATTGTTTAGTTATATTTACAGATATACAGATGTTTTAAAAACTTTGCAGCATTTGGGATAAGTGCATATCCAACACCATGTAAGTTATAAATTTAAAATATTTTGAACTATCAATATATTCCAAATAAATATTTCACTATCTATCCGTTATCTCTGGACAATAAAGGCATGGAAAATTCACAAGTCATAAGAATTTTGTTCATTATTAGGGTAACAACAAACTAAGTAGAATCCGATATGGCATGAATAACATTTCACTAAGTGGCAGAAGTACAAAGACAAAATTCCATTTTCAGGAAACAAGAAAAAAAATTGAGGAAATTCAAAATAATAATTATTTGAAAATGGCATGAAAAAAAAATAATAATCTTATAATGGAAAATACCTTAATGGAAGGCTAAATTTAGAAAATAAGAAAAAGCCATGGAAGGTTTAAGACTGAGACATGGGTTGTACAAACATTAAAGATAAAGAGGTTATGCATGAAGCATGTTAAGAACTATAAAGCACTTTTTTTTTCATTGGAATTTTCCATACAGCTAGTATAAAATTATCTGGTTGTATTTCAATTGTTCACTATTTATTGCGAAACATTGATAATTTCCTCGGGGTTCCTTAATGTTAATAATTTTTTATATAGATTGTCATCATTGTATGGATTTAGAAATTTCCCTCTCTGGTTTTTTTTTAGGCAGGGCATTCCATAATGATATGTTGGAGAGTTTCTTTTTGGTTACATTTTTCACATTTATATGAATTTTTAACCCCAATGCGCTGCAGGTATACTTTGCTTAGCCCAAGAATTGTTTCAAGTCTACAAAAATTGTTAATAATATCTTTAGCTTGTTTAGAATTAGCGGTACATTGGACTAATAAAATCTACCTTTGGGAGAATCGTGATTTAATTCGGACCATTTGTTTACTTTATTTTCTTTTATCGTTGGGAAAGTAATATTTTTTTGGGGGGGAGGGAGGTCCTCCCCTTCCTCACCTTTAAGGCTATTCGGGGTTTTCACGGGGCAGGGGGTGTGGGCGGAGATTTGGGAAAGTAATCTGTATATGGGAGTTTGATGTCTGTAACATGAGGTAAGTTAACAGAAGTTTTAGCAAGGCGGTCTACCTTTTTATTTTCCTGTTTTCTCATGTGGGCTTAGACCTACAAAAATATTATTTGTTTTTATTGTTTATTGCATTAAAGTATTTTTTGATTATGTTGGCCAAAATATTATTTTTATTTATATTGCTATTATTTTCAATTGCTAATAATAAGCTAATACAGTCAGTTATTATTACAAATTTATTTTCACTAGATCAGTTAATAAACTCGAGAGGTTGTAATCTTACATAAAATTCAGTATTGCTAATAGATATTATGTTTGGTAGTTTGTATTGGCCGGAATATTTATACTTTGGGATGTAAATGGTAGAGCCAGTACTATCTCTTCTTTTTGATCCGCCCGTGTGTATATTAATATATTGTGGCCAGTTTTCTATAAGTAACAATTTTATGTTTGCATTTATCATAATTGGGGGTTAATGAGTGAAATTTAGTGTTAATTATTAAAAGTTATATTGAAAGTTTAAAATAACATATCATATTCAATCGTATATAGATGTAGTTTATGGGTGATAAATACTCAGGACAGTCATAAAGTTTTTATTAGTGCACTAATATCACACGACAGTGCACTAATAAAAACTTTATGACTGTCCTGAATATTTATCACCCATGATACGTAGAATAGTCGACTAACTTCCTTCAATAGATGTAGTTTAGCATTACAAAATAAATTTTCTGTTAATTCTTGATATTTTACAAAGCTATCATAAATAAAAAGAACATATTTTTTCTTTTGCTAATATGTTGAGGTTAGGATAAGTACCCACATTGATACTATTTTATAATAACATTTGTAATTCCTAGCTTATAAACACTAATAAACAGAAGATATTTTAGACAAGCACCAGATTATGATTATACTTTATACCACTGATGAAAAACTTGAAATAATGAAGAAAAAGGAAACTTTTTAATAGATATTAAACTATCTGATTATAATTCTATGAATAACTATCTACTAATAACTCCAACGAAATGAAACAGTTTAATAATAAATAACATAAATAGTTGTTATTGATGTCTTTTAATGAAAAATAGTTATATGTTACTTAAGTATGATTAATACAAATTAATTGTAAAAATTAAAGGACCTACATTCTCAAATATATTAGTCTGCTGCGATTGCTTTTGTTTGAATCTTTTCAGCTTTGCTGCAATCCTTTTATCTCCTTTGAAAAGTTCTTCTTCAGTCTTCCATTCACAATGTAAATATGAGAAATTTCTATACTTGACATAATATTCTTCTACATCCACTAACTTAGTTTCATTTTTTGGTTTCTCAGAATCAATAAGTGTTTCTTTATTTTCTATGATAGTTTCAGGTGTTGCATTAATTTGATCACTCACTTCTAAAGATTCAACTTTTACTTCTTTTTGAATATTCCGAGCAGCCAAAATATATTGAACTACCATAGAATCTTCATCAGTAGTATTCTAAAAGAAAAAAATAGAAATTATACAAACAAATATACAATAATATTATAAACAATAACAAACTAAACATGTGAACAGAGACATAAGCTTGATCTAAAAACTAAGACATATAACATTTTTCTTAAAAACAAAAAGTTCCAAATAACTAGACATAAACACAGCAAATAGTAAAGATTCAAATATGCACTGAAACAATTTTTCATAAGCTTGTAAAGAGGTTATCAAAATGAGAGCCTTATATATTTGTTTCTATTGGCAAACAAATAAATAAATCAAATCCATTCTCTTTTCCTTCAGGATACATACTTGATAACTTTATATTTCTAAGAAAGTTAATCAATCAAAATAAAAAATAAAAACAAATATATCTTTAGAGGATATGTTTCATTTAAAAACAATTTATTATATAATTTATGTGTGTAATAAAACTCATGCATACTTTATAAATGATCCATAATTTTTGTGTACTTCAATGCAGATGAACTGATATGATTTAATTTTTTTTCAATATTTATTAAAGTGTGAGCCTAAGTAAGAATAAATCAATCTAATTCAAAATATATTGGTTAGTTTATATATGAAAATTAAAAAATATCTAGCAATGAACTCTGATCTTGAAAATATTATGGGCAAACTAATAAAAGAAAAATCATATACCACACTAATGAACAAGATGTTTGAAGCATCGGCGTCTCTAAATAAATATGATTGCTTGGTTAGGAATGAGAGATGTGAAAAAAAAAATGCAGCTAAACAGAAAGCAAAATTCTTCCATGCTAGATAAAGATGGAGAAGTTTGACTAAGACTGCAACCAACAATTTTAAAATTTGTGTAAGTAAAGGTAATGGGAAGAAAAAGAGTAGTTGTTGCATGTATACTATTTCAAACCATGGTAAATGTTCACTTCACCAAACACCATAAGCTTAAGCACCATTGTTGAAGTAAACGTAATGGGAAGAAAAAGAGGTAGTTGTTACATATATAGTATTTCAAACCATGGTAAATGTTCACTTCACCAAACACCATAAGCTAATCATAGTTTGACACAGAGTAAAATCATGAATTAATATAAAATTAAATTCTCATAAGGCCAGCTATACATCAAACCACAAAACACATAGGAATACAAAGCACAAAGACAAAGTACAAATGTTGGATTCTAAGTATACTTTAGCTAATAAACTTTATTGTTTAAGACCCTTAAACAATAAAGTTTATTAGCTCATAGATGTCAACATCTTCTTCACCAGTTCAATAGTCATCTGATGACTGTAGAAAGTTGCGATTATTTAACAATAGATCCCAGCTGATTAAAGATAAATTAAATGAAATTTTAATACATTTACAATTTTGTCATAACATTGCAGATATCAATTTAATATTGCCAAAATTCTATGAATATCAATAAATAGTATAATATAATTTGGTCAAGCGGTTTTTCAATAGAAAGAGAGCAAACATGTTCGTCAAAATAATAAATCTGATTGTTTTTATTATTTAGTTGAGGTAACGTCTCCTGAATAATGAAGCAATACCTTTTCTTTTCACGTCAATTCTCCTTCATTATAGCAGAGAACTCTACTGTTTAATGTAATTCATCTTACAGATATAGTCGTTATATAGTAGTAGTTTTTTGCTTCTTTTTTATCAAATTAATTTTTTTTTGTGAACGATTGCACGATTTTCAAATCATCCTTTTAAACCTATAAATCAGCCTCTTCCATATTGAATATCATTTTTATTGCTCATAAATGCGCAAATCAATCGTCAACAGAGCTGCATAAACATAAATTTGAGTAGATGGCCGATATTTCGGCCTTATGACCTTATTTAATCGAGATTATTAGTTTGATCATTAAAAAAAATTGTCCAATATTATTTTTATTGCTAATAAATGCGTCAAGAAATCAATAAATCGTCAAGGGATCATCATGAATATGAGTAAAGACTGATATATCGGCCTTATAACCTTGTTTTATTAAGATTGGTGAAGTTTGATCAATTTTTTTAATATCTTTTTTGTCCTCCTCCACTAATTTGATCAGATACCGATATTCTGAAGACCAATATATCGGTCTCCCAACCATAATTTATCAAGATTAGTTGAGTTTGATTTTTTTTTTTTTTTTTTGTGAACTACTACCACAATTTTTTCAAACCGATATATCATTGGACCGAAAAACTTTTGGAAGAAGACAAGCACAAAATTAAAAAAAAAAAATTATCGAACTCTATTAATCTTAAAATTAAATCTTAAAGCCTATATATTGGTCTTTATTCACATTTATATCAATTCCATGGTGATTTGATTAACTCATTTATTACCAGCATAAATAATATTCCACTTGAAACTAGGAATAATGATAAAATTATATCAAAATACCGATATATCGGTCTATGGCATGGACCGAAAAACATTGGGTAGAAGGCAAGCACAAAATAAAAATTATAAAACTCTATGAATAATGATAAAATTAGATCTTAAGGCCGATAAATCGGCCGGTATCACATTTATGTTTATATCGATCCATGGCGATTGATTGGCTAATTTATTATTAGCATAAATAATGTTCCATGTGAAACTCAATGAATTATGATGAAATAAATTCAAAAGGACGATATATTGGTTCATGTGTTAGACCGAAAAACATTTGGAAGAAAACAAGCACAAAATTAAAAAAAAATCGAGATTGGTAGAGTTTTATAATTTTTTGTATTTTTATTACTGCCATTACCTGGCTATATAGAGGCTAAAGAACCATTCTGGAAGAGATTGAGAAAAAATGCCTGAAGTGGTATGAACATTTAAAAGAATGCCTGAAGGAAGACTACCCAAATGTAGTAACTTTTAATTCAGAGAAAATACTGAATCCTAAAGGCAGGAAGAAAAAACAACTCTTCCAATAAAAAATGACAAAAATTAATATATATTTTAATTTCCACAAAAATTCGTATTTAAAGGTTTTAAAGGACTTCTTCATTTTTTATAGGAAAAATTTATCTAGGCAACTTTACAAGGAGTGACTTATGGTTTTTGTGATTTCTCAGACATTTGAACTAATTAAATATTATTTTCAACATTATTTACATGAAAAAATAAATAAATTTGTATATAATAACCTTGAAATACATGCAAAGCAAAGGAAAAAATAATAATATGAAAAATTGTGACCATTCATACATTTTTTCTCGGCTACTGGAAAAAAACTGGGTATCACCAAAAAATTGACATCCTGAATACTAAATTAAAATTTTTATAATTTACCATATATTTCTTACAGGAAGTAGAAAGCTTTCAAGTCTAATCCATAATGCCCATTTTTCAGACAGTTAATCAAATATAAATTTAAAAACTACAATTCTATATTAAAATAGAAAAAATAATTTGGAAATCTAAAAAAATTAACAGCGATACAAACATATTGAACTTGTTAAAGGAACTTGCAAAGTGACCTCTAATTAATATTAATTCTAAATGTGTTAACTACATATAAAAGACATGCAATAAAAATTAAATCATATATATTTCACTTTAGTTAAAACTTAGCGCGGTTCGTTAATTAAATACATAAGACATACAATATAAACAAAATTAGGTTTCACCGCTGGGTCAGTTGATGCGCTGTCAGGAGAATTCTTAACAGTATCCAACTTTGGAGAGCCAGATTTTCCACTTTCCTCATCAGATATTGAAAGCATTATGTCATCCACATATTTCTTTCGTTGGGTGTTTCGAGCAGATCGGCGTTTCTTAAAAATAAAATTAATACTTTTAAATAAAAGCTAGTATTATCAGAACAATTTAAGTCAAAACAATATTAATTTAAAAAAATAACTTAAGCATTTTTAAGTAGAAAGCTAACTGTAACATTAATTCCATTATAACCTACTATTATATTTAAAAAACAATAATTAAGGCAATAAGTGCCAAAAGGGCATTTGAAGATATTGTCTACTGTGATTTTTTGGTCTTGCAATGTACATCCATTTCGCTATAAAAATTATCATCAATAACTACCTGGTAACAACATTCAACCAAATTGCTCTCTAAGAATAGTTATCAAGAAACATTTATTTAAAACAGAATTTTGTCCAAAAAAAAAAAAATTAATATTTATGACATTATTTTGCCAAAAATTATGAGTATAGCAATAGTTGTATGAAAAAACAAAAAAATTGCTATGGTTTCGACCAATGAAATTCAAGAGAATTTATAAAGAGCAATCAGTCATTCATTTAATGAATCCAGTGTTGTGAATTCTTTAGGTAGGCTCTTATCAATGTCAAGATTATGTTTTTATATTGATAATTGAAGGCAGTTATTCGAATGTTCTACATATCATGAGTGATAAGGATGCAGTCTTTTTCTTTTTCAGTATAAAGCACTGCAACCCTTGCTGATCAATTGTGCACCATGTATACTATACTATACTGTTTTATTTCATTTCTAAAACGTTATTTTAAGTTTCTTCCACGTATCTTAATAGGCTTACCAGGTTAATGGACTGTTAGCTGGTGGGGTAATCCAATCGATTCTCCCCAAATAGCTCTCGTCTAAGCCTCCTAAACATATCACATCAATAAACGTGAAAGGCTGTTTCATTTTCCTCCAGACAGAATCTGCAGATCGGGTTCGAAGTCACTCTGAGATTGAACATGTGATAGTTTAACTTACAGTGGCCAGTATAGATCGCTGTAAGCTTTTTGAGAGCTGCTTTGTTCAAACTCAGTAGCAGCTTACTTCTTTTATTATCACATGTACCTTTAAGAAACAGCTTCTAATGTCGTTTCTTCTCAGTCCAGTGTTGTTTGAATTTTTCACCATATAACTCCCTACTCCTTCTTTTGGCAGTACTAAGACTGATTCCACAAACAGGTTCAGGAGTTATGGGAATAGTATCTGAGCGTAACCTGGTTATGCTAGATTATCTGCCTCTCCGTTGCCAAGAATGCCTGAATGATCAGGCCCTCCCACTCAATGGCAACTCTATTAAGCTCAGACAGATTGTTAAGCGCTATGCTGCTTTCTTTAACAACCTTGAGTATGTATAGTAATTATTTAAGGCACCTATTGCTGCTTGACTGTCAGTGTAAATTATTATCTTTTTTCCAGTCACTTTGCCTAATAGTAAGTTTTGAACGCAATGGCAAATTGCTAGTATCTCAGATTGAAATACTGAAGCATGTTGGCCAAGAGGAATTAAAACTTTTTCCTTGTTACATTTTCGATAGATGCATGCTCCTGAGCTATAGGCTGTTAGAGAGCCATCTATATAACAATTTATACCATTTTTTGGTTTTTGTTGTTTGCTGATATCAATCTCGACATCCATCATATTTGCTGTCCAGAAACTCATGGATTAGTAAGTCTAAGTGCAAAGTACTTCCTCACACTCAATCCTTCCTATTCAGCAGTTTGGTGTTTCCCTCTGACAGAGGATATAGGAGCAGCTTTTTAGCTTACAAAATGCCTTTGTTGCCTGAGCCTCAAACCTCCAATTGCAATGGTGCCATGTTAGCATTATCTCCATAGCAGCAGTTAGGGTGGAGCCCATTGCTCCTGTTATCGGGACACAATCATACATATTCTATTTGTTTATTTCATGTATTATCCACCACTATTTATCATTATTAACAATTACTTGTTTTAAAATATATCTCCGATTGAATTAAAAAAATTTCAAAATGACTGCATTATGACTATTAATCACCCATGTATGTCGATAAATAAGAGTCAAGTATACTTATACTTATTTAAAAAAATACAAAAATTATTAACTTGTAATCCAATGAAAATAACAATAAATTAACTCAATATTAGAAAAAAAAAAAAAAACTGCCAGAAATATATAATTTCATTAGATTTGACATCCTAAATAGGGGTCAAACGAAAGATGTAACATAATATTAATATATGGACATCAGGACATAATATTAATATATAACACCAGGGCATGTGTCCAATATTTATCAACGTAGGGTCACAAAAACAAATTTGGTTGAAATTGGTGACCTTTCCTTGTAAGTCACATTATAAATTTTCATTAACAGAATCTTCATAATGCTTTTGATCATTTGTTGAGTTATAGAGATGTTAATATTTGAAACTCAGAAAAGCGTAGGAGTACACAAAAATTATATTCTTCTAACAGGACTACATTAAGAAATACAATATAAAATACTTTGTCACAATCAAAGGCAAATAATTAACTAAAAATAAAATAAACTTTGAAACAATTAAAAAATGTAACTAACATTGCTGTCATCAACACCAGCAGCAGGAGCTGCACCTGATGCTCCGTCTGGGGATATTTCAGTGCTTCCTTCTTCTCCCTCTAATTGATGGATCCCAGGCTTCGATTTCTTTCCTCTCTTAACATTTCTAAAAAAAATGAAAAATTAGATATTTTTCAAAACAGAAAGTATCAATGAAATCACTACTATACCTAAAGTATTAGAAAAAGCATAATATATGAAGAAAGAGAAAAGAAAAAATCTGGTGTTGTGCACGTATACCACACCTTTTCACTTACCACCCTACTTTGAGTAGAAATAAATGTTTCCATATTTATGATAAAATGAGAGGGGTAGCTCAGTGGATAAAAAAATATGAATAGTAAAAATCTGGTGAGGTACACACATTCCACACCTTTTATTTACCACTCTTCTATGGATAGAAACAATTGTTTCCTTAAATAATCCATATAATTCCATAGATACATATGATAAAGGCAGCGGGGTGGCTCTGTGTAAAAAAATTTGGGTAATGTGAGGTTTTATTTATTTCTGCCCCAAGTAGAGTGGTAAATGAAAGGCATGATATTATATAATCACATAATTTTTTTATACTACTTAAGATAAATCTCAAGTTTTTTCCTAAAAAAGCTCAACTTAATTGATATGGACTTCAAGCTTATTATTAAGAATCATGAATAATTTATGTTTTTAAAAACAGAACTTTGCTAAGTTTAGATGCTCAAAAGTCCTGTTTAAATGGTTTAAAAAATGACAAACTCTATTTTTATTTTTATTAAATCTTGTATAGTTTACAGTGAAACATTGTTAATTACTTGAATTAAATATTTCTTTAGTTACTGCATCATATTAAAAAAAAAAAAAAAACATGACACTTAAAAACACAAAACTTGGATTTTCTACCTTTCTGCTGAAAATTATCCTATTATTTATTAAAATAACTTTTTTGAAGCTCTTAAGGTCTGCTACCACTCTTATAAAATTTTCCCTCAACTTATGAGACACCCTAACTATATTTATAAAATTCATTAAAATAACAAGAATCAAGCACCATAGAGCGGACTGCAGTTAGAAACATATCAAACTAATTACTTTCAACAGTGACTAGCAGTTAAAACTATGCTACACTGCTAGTTTCTATATTTTTCAGCAGATGGGACTGAAATTCATTTGGAAGATAGATTGCTGTGAGTAATTTCTTAGTGAAAACTTAATTTGCCTAGTTTTGTTAATTAGGAACTTATCAAATCAAATGCCTTGACATATCCCAGACTTTCTGATCTCCTACTGCACTGCAGGAGGGCAGTATTCATGGATGGAATTTCATTGCCACTTTTGACTTTTTATACCACTCAAAGCACAATGATTTAATAACAGCATACTAAATGTAGGCTTCGACAAGCATTCATTGCAATTCTGCAGTTCTCTTTAAATGGTAACAGAAAACTAATAATATCTGCAAATCATAGTTTGGATGCACAAAACTAGACAGGTTCAACACTATTAAAATGATGCTATGATACGAAACTCATATCGAATTTTGAATTGAAAATCTTTGCAAACTGTTGAAGAAACAAAATGGTGATAATAGTTCAGCTTAATTTTAACTACATTAAAAACTAGACCCATGTATACATGTATCCGGTATTTAAAGACCTGCTCAACTCTCCTACAATGCTCACGACATATATTATTGGGTTTAAAGGCTATAATAAACGAAAGGATAACTAGAAGATGGGAGAGGAGGACTGCATTAAGGCTGATCTGGCGGAGTTGAGTTTAGACAGCGATCAGTAGATGAAAGTAAGTAGATAGTGAGGTGGTATTGATTCGCTAAGCATTTCATTTCACGAACTACAACTCCTATCCTATGATCCTATCGCTTCCTTGCCACCTTTCTGTACCAAATCATTAGAACTCATCGACCCTCCTATATTTTTCACAATTTACAATTCAAATACTCTATCCAATCCCGTCCCACCAGATCTCGTACTTCCGACCTCTATCTTCCTCCTCACCGAACTGCTGCGTTTGAAAAATCCTTTGCAATACAAGCCGCCTCCCTCTGGAAATCTATCCCTGCTGATATTCGAGACGCTCAATCAGTTTCCTCTTTGAAACCTCTCCTCTTTAAACACCTACTCCTTTCTCAATCCGACTGATTGCGAAATATACTTAAGAGAAATATCCAAGCACCACCAGAGACTAGCTCAATTTATTTAGGTTATTTTTAGTTTCTCATTTATATGTACAATTTTCTTGTTCTTTTCTTTCTCTTCTTTCAGTATTTTTAGTTTTAGTCAACTCTTATTGTAAATATATAATCTAATTGTAACCACACAGACATACAATCTGTATTTATAATTTGTTCTAAAGGGACAACAGTCCCAGAATAATAAAATATTTTTTCATTTCATTTCATTACAACCCAGTTACAAATCTTGGCCACCTCCAACAGTCACAGACTTGTGCTGATGGCACCCAGTCCCTAACTTCTAACATTTTGTGAGCGTCTCCTGCCACACCATCTCAGCTTTGGTCTCCCTCTTCTCCTTGTTCCATGGATTGGCTGTGTAAGCAATATTTTAGGTATTTCTCGACATGCCATTCTGGCAATATATCCAGTATACTTTTACATGCTACCCTGAAAGCATGGTGCAGGTCCTAGATTTGTTTGTGCAACTCTTCCATTTCTCTCTAGCTTTCACTCCACCAAAAACAAGGCGGAGAACTTTTCTATCAAAAATAAGAAGTTCCTTTTCAGTAGGCTTTGAAGTTCTCAAACACTCTGATCCATAAAGAAGTTTAGGACGTACCAATGTCTATATAGAGGTGGAACTTGGTCTGTCTGGAAATCGATAAGCCTTTATTACTATTATTACACTATCTATGGATTGATGACCATGGGATCGGAAGACACTCCAGAGGCATACCCAGCCTCTGTAAAGTGAGTTTAAATTTGCAGCATAACAATTATCTATGTAATATTCTGCAGGATTTTATAAGCTTGGGAAAGATGGTGTCAGGGTGAAATTATAATCTTATTACAGTTTCTTAAAATATTCCATATTATTTTTTTTTTTTACTTTCACTTACCTATATAAGTAATATTTTGTAAGGGACAAGAGTAATAATTCTGTAATTTATCAACTTAAAACTCCTACCCTACTCTGTAGTAAGGGAAAGTATTGTGATTGAGAAAATTTTCGAATTTGACTTTTAAATGAAGAGCCACTTTGTCATCGATTTTACAAATTTTTTTTAAAACAGCTGTAACGACTTTGATTAAATTCACTATATTAGTATAAAATTTAACATTTTTTAAATATAAAGTAGGTCTTATTCTCATTGATGTTCACTATCAGGGTTTAAATGCTTAATTTGTTCCTCTAAAGTACCTTTAATTTTTTTTATTTGAAATAATTAAACATTTAACATTATAAAGTGATATAAAAAATGTTTAAATATAATGAATGAAGAAAATTTATAGGTAACTAAGGAAGAAATAAGGGTTGGAAACTATACAGAAACAACCAATAGCTGATCCTCACCCTTTACAGATACCCAATACCCTTTTATAGAGGACTTTCATATTGTTAGTTTAAGGTTTATATCTCTCTTATCCATAACTTTTTAAAAATATGTTCACATAAAATAATCACTAAAACTAAGTTATTTTTTTTACGAGTTTCATTATATATATATATATATATATATGTTTCCAATAAAACTCAGAATTTTAAAAAAGATCCATTTTCCCCACAATCATTAGTATTTTTTGATACTATAAACAGTCGTTAAAGGAAATGGAAAGAGATGCAAATGTGAAAATTTGATGGATGGGAAAAACATAGGAATTAATTGCTTTAAATGAAGTTATACCATAGTTTTCACTTTGACTTCCCAACATTTGAAAATACCAAACAACTCTTAAGGTTGGTAAGTGAAAGTTGGGTTTAGTGCGCAACGCACCAAATTTTTTTCATATTATATTTTTTTCGAACCCACCAAAAATAACTTTAAACAGGTTAAAATTACTTAAGACTGCTCTAAGAAAAATGAAGAAACAGTTTAAATTTATTAATACTTTAAAATTCATAACAAAAATGAAATTTACTTACTTAGAATTTGGTCTTGATCTAGCTTTAGGCGTCTTTTTTTCTTTTTTCCCTTTCTTAGTTACTGTTTTGTTCACGGGATCTTCCTGCTCAACATCTAAAGGAGTTGACTCTTCAATAGATGAAGCTTTAATTTCAGACTCACCAGGTAATCCCATCTCAACCGTTTCAATAGTAACTGTCTCATTGTTACTAGAATTATCAAGCAAAACATTATCTTGAGGAAGATTTTCTTCACCTTCACTGCTTAACTTCTTACGTCCTCTAAAAAAAAAAAAAAAAAATAATAAATAATAATAATAATATTCTTATAATATAATATCTGTCTCAAAGTCTACAGAGTCAATAGTATATTGAGTAAGTGAATATACAAGAGCGTGAACTAAAGTTCGAGACAACAATAATAATTTTTCATTGTAATTAGTTAGCAGTGTTGGGAAAATTGTTGGACTAACTTTATTTTTAATTTTATCCATCAAAAGAGATAATATAAAATCAATGGATACACTGTAGTCAAAAGGGAAAGTTCAATACAAATACAACTTTAATTTACATTTATACTTAAAAATGATGGAAGCTTATATAAAATCTCAGCAAATTCTTTCCTCACACTTGGTGTGTCAAAACTGAAAAATTAGAAGATACTAAACATCTTTGAAAAAAACATTATGGTAACGTTTGCAAGAGATTGAGATATGAATATTTTATTCCTGATGATTTTGCATTATTTACAATAAATGTTGGCTATTTTGCTTTCTTCTCTTAAAATGTTTTAATACTTTCACTTACCTATATGTATAATATATAGCAAGGTCATATTGCAATCGTGAAAATTTTCGAATCTGAGTTTTCAAAAGAAATACACGTTTTGAGGTTCCCTCCAAATAACCAAGTCCCGCAAAATGGTCTGTGTGAATGCGAAGTCTAGCTCAAAAACAAAACTGATATTACATATTTAAGATAGGTATATGCCTTAGATGTGGCAGCAATTTTTTCCTTAAAATCGACTAACTGGAAGTGCCACTAATAACACATTCCAGAAATTGGGGATCAATTTCAATTGATCTCAAAAAATCAAGGCACCTTTCACTTTCTGATGTATTTTTGCTCTTGTGAAAGATTTTTCTCATCCCCAATTCATTGGTCAATATTTGATGAATGGTTGTGAGTCAAATTAAACTGTTCACCAATCATTCAGAATGTCAAAACAACAGTCTGAATGCACGGGATCATGGATTCTGCCAACATTTTGATTGGTTCTTGAAGATGAAGGCCTTCGACTACAAGGCTAGTCTTCAATTGATTCTATTCTTTCTGAAAAGGCCTTTAATAATCTAAAAACCTGTGCTCTCGACAAAACACTGTCTCCATATCCTGAAGATTAAGCATATAATTTTATTTTACTTTTTCTATCTACCTATAAAAGTCATGAGAGATATCAATATTTTATTAACATTTTTGAATGTTAAAAAAAATAAAGATTTTTATTACATTTTGGCTTTTTTTATTATTATTATTTAATTTTTAAGTCACATTCCAATGGCAGGATGAAGAATAAACAGAACTAACATTCTCGTTAGTCATAATGAAAATTTGTTGAACTGGCTCAAGAAAACCATTCCTTTATCTCTGGAACAACTCAAAATAGTTCCACCCAGAACGGTCTTTCTCGTTCCGAGTGGCCTTGAATTCCACCTCTTTGAATTTCTGAGGGGCTCTGGAATTTCGTCCCACAGGAATATGAATGCTTCTGGGTTCCATTACATTCAGTTTTCGTTACAATCTGAGATTTTATTCTAGCGTCCGTTAGGAATAATTATGATACAGATTAATTTGCCAATGTGTTATTTTTAGTTTAAATTGGTAAGCCTTAAATTAATTAAATTGTGTTTATAATAAAAAAAATAAAAATAAAATAAAAGCAATATAGAAAACAAAAATGGATTTTAATTCATTATTTTTCTGTAACTAGGAATAAGGGAATATTTAAGGAAAATTAAGACAAACATATGAATTTTACCTACTAAATAGTTTTAATACAGAATTATATTTAAACAAATAAAGATAAAAACAATCAAATCTATAATATAAAATTTAGTATGAATTAAAAAAACTAAAATGGTAAAATCTATAGTAAATAAATTCAAAAATGGAATTTAAAAACAGCAATTTTTACTTTACTAGCTGATAGTTGAGTCAGGCGTTCGTTCGCAACCAACATGCTATTTTTTGAAAAGATTCGGTGGCATGGAACCAAAGTAGCGACTATACACAACCATTTCTTTGGCAATGATGAACAAATTAGGGTAGTTGTTCTGCAGACCAAACTACCACTTAATAGATTCCTCATTGTCGTATAATATATCCTTACCTAGGTACCTGTTTAATTCAATCATTGCCCTTGATTGGGGTGTCCCTTTCGGACAATGTTGCTCTCGGGCTCTCATCAATGTTCCTAAAACCTCCAGTTCGTTTTTTTTTTTTTTTTTTTTATATGAGAAATATCAGTTTAATACGACTTTTCGTTTTTGAGCTAGACTGCTAACATACACACAGACCATTTTTCGAGACTTGGTTATTTGGACTCCGGGTACCCCAAAATGTGTATTTCCGTTGAAAACTCAGATTCGAAAATTTTCATGATCGCAATACTGTCCCTTACTATATATTTCATAAATAAGATGAGTAAAAATTCCTGGCATCTTGAGATTTTTCAAGAGTAAAAATTCCTGGCATCTTGAGATTTTTCAAGAACTTACAAATTAAATTAATTATGCTTATATTATTTTAAAACACCTTACCATAATTTACAGTTCATTCGTAACGGTACCTTCTAATATTATTGAAAAATAGATATTAAATTTATTTTGACTTGGACCGGTGTTACAAATCAACCTGAGTCAAGGCGTCCTGCAGCTTAAACCACCAGCCACATGAAAATCTAAAACAGTTTTTCTCTTCAATAAATTTCTTTTCTTGATTTGTATGTGACGTTTCAGGATTTATTTTATCCCATCTTCGGACTATTTTATTATCGTTGTTATCATCTTAATTTATCATAAGACATGTCATTTTTTAAAATTTAAAATATCCCTTAAATTTAATGTGGATTCTTTTATTCCTTGCTACTGCTTTCCAGTTTCGGAGGCCAAGAATGTTTTTGGCATCCTCATTAACACAATCTATCCATCTTACTGTCGGTATTCCAGCTCTTCTAATTGTGTAGAGTGTAGATTTTTTTCTTCTAGCAACTTTCAAGAAATCTCTTCTGGATTTATTTTACTAACATGTCCGGTCCACCGAAGTCTTTCAACTTTAATAATGAAGCATAGTTTCTCTATTGCTTTGATGTCGCCAGATGTTATCAGTACATACATAATAAATATATCAAAAACTAATTTCTGAGGCCAAACGAGCAGATTCTGATAAAATCGCCTTAACATAATAAATAGATGTGATGATTCAACTAGGATGTGGTAATTCCATTTTCACTGCAACTTTATTATTGATCCTAAGCTCTGCGAATCGATTGATCCTAACAATATATACAAATCCACATACCCTCTTTGTCTGTTTTAACAGAGTATGGGACAGTATGTAATAGATCTCAATGAAGTTGCAACGCATTAATGATGGGAAATTATGTATATGTGTACATATATATATATACTAGCTTTACCCGGCCACGCACTGCTGTGGCTTAGACTGGCAAAATGGAAAAGAAAGAAAATAGAAAGCATATATGAGTGGATTAATACCAAAGGACATCTGTAATTTTTAAAAAGTTGGGAAAAAAATTTGCCTGTAAAATGGCTTCAATTTAAACTAATCCTAATGTTTTTTTTTTTCATGATTAAACTTGAACATTCATAATCATCTGAGTGAATACGCCTTTATTCTTAATTATCAGAAACAGTCTGAGTTAAAACTAAAATTGATTTTATCTTCCCTTTCTGAAAATGACAGAAATCCGTCCCTTGATATCAAGCCACTCATATATTTTCATATTTTATTTTATTTTTATTTTTTTATATTTAATGTATTGTTTAATGTTCAACTATGTGTTGATCATTTTATGGTAAGTAAAAATGTTTGGTGGTTTAAACTCTTAAATCTCAGGAAGTCCTCCTTCACCCATTGCCTTGAAATTTTGCTTAACGTTGCATTTAAATACGTGCGTGATTTAATATATCTACTATTATAAAATATAAGATGAAACTATACATATTTATTAAAAACAAACCCTCATTTGGATGTTAAAGCAACACATGCGATACTGTTTCAATGTTAAAGATTTTCAAACATCAATCATGGAAATGCATTGAAATGGCGCTATACCTCGCTTATTTCGTGTGCATTAGATCTGCCTTCCACTTTTCTCAAAAGATTTTGTATACCCCTCCTAAGATAGTTGATTGCTTGCTTCTTTTTAATAACAACTTGATTAAATATAGAGTTGTAAAAATTGTAGTGGAAAAATAAACCATACTCATGAAAGCAATCCTACGGTAAACGGCACAACCTTATTCCAACATAATGTTAGAGAAAAGAATTTATAAAAAAATAAAATAAACTGAAATCAATAAAAACTTGTTTCTAAAAGGAACATACACGGTGATAAGTATTACTCAAGTGTTAAATCTTTTTAAATAATAGCAAATCAAATATTTGAAATATATCATACTACCTCCAGAATACATTGGGAGGAAAATAAAAAATGAATATAAATAGCATACAATAGTATTGACCTACATAAGGAGAATCATATCACTTCTTCATATGATAATTTCAATTACTGTAGTAATTATAAAATTTTCGATTAATCAATAACAAAAAAAAAAAAAAAAAGAAATAGGAAATAGCCTTTTCTGAAGAGAAAGTAGTAAATATTTAAAGCTCTATAACTCTGCAACGAATCGACCGATTTCAATGATTTTTTTTTTATTTTGTCGGCAAATCCGAAATATTTCAAATAAATATGGGTATTATCGTTCAAAAATTGTGTACTTTTTTAGTTATCAGCATATAAAATATTGAATTCATCATAACATTTTTCAGCTTGTTTTCGGGAAAGTATGTTATGCACATAAATTAAAAGGGTTTCAAGGGGAAGACTTTAGCCAAGTTTCGTTAAAATCGTTAAAGCCGTTGTGGTGCTACAGTTTATAGCAACACATTTTTTTTTTCGGCTTTGAACAGAAAAACATTTACATTTTTTTTTTTTTTTACATACATAAAATCATCTTTAGACAGAAGTACTATGCCAGAAACTTTCTCATTAGGGTACGGAACAACTTCCTAAAGTTTCATGGCGAACAGATGAATGGTTTAGTAATGCATAAAGGACAGACAGACATACATGACTTTATTACTCACTTTTTTCCTTTTAATCCAGTTTCTTCAGGAGATTCAGTAGAACTTTGAGATTCATTTTTCTTTTTCTTCTCTTTGGGTATTTTGGGAGTCCTTGGAGACTTGGGTGTTTTAGGAGTTCTAGGTGGTTTAGGCTCCTTTGGGATTTTCGCTTCCTTAGGCTTTTTAGGAACACGTGGTTTCCTTACAAAAAATAAAGTAAATAGTTACATAAAAAAGGTATCAGTTAATTAGTAGTTTTATTATTAGTAAAATAATTTTAAGAAAAATCACTATTATTCCCTAATTAATCCCTCCAAAAGAAACAACACATTGTAAATCCAGTACCATCAAGTGTATCATTAAATTCAATAATACTTAGGAAGTGCTACATTCATACATAAAAACAAACAATTAAAAAAAATGTTTAGAAAACAACAGACCTTAAGAAATTTTCCCCAAATCATTCATTCCTTAATATATTAGCAGGCAATTTAAAAAGAAATGAATATAATTAGAAAAATTAAACACATACATGACAATTTAACATATCACATATTAACTGGTAAATAACTAAACCCACCATTCGAAGTAACTACAGTTTTGGAACCATTTATAATATCATTCATTATCTGGTGTATATTATTATTAACTTAGTAAAAAATAAATAAGTGATGATTATTTCTTTTGCAGTTTTAGAAGGGGATGAGTAGGTTTGTGTGTAGCTACAGGATAATTCATTTCTCTAGAGCAAAATAAATAAGTTAAAAGTAAAAATAATGACTTGGAATTATATAAAATTTCTTCCACTAAGGTTCATTTAAAATGTGTAAAATCAAAGAGTGTGTTTGTAAGCATTAAAATAACAATCACATAAACATATTAAAATTTACATAGTTAATACAATAATTTTTATTTTGAAAGAGCACTCTACAATAAATACTTGAAAATTAAAGTAGATAGTCATGAAAAATTTTGATCAAGGGATCTTTCAGGAGGAACAAGTAAAAAAATCATCTTATAAATAAAAATAATAAATTTTATGATAAATGAAGATAAAATTTAAGACACGAATGATATATACCTCACTTTCTTTTTGTCTGCATCAGCTCCATGCAGTGGAGGAGGTGGTTCTTCATCTTCTGTAAAATTAAAAATACTATTATCTTCAACCTGGTTTAACTGTTCCGGAGGAGGTGGAGGAGGTGGTGGAGGAGGCGGCTGCTCCTCAATATCTTCTGGCTCTTGATCCGGAAAAGGTTCTGAAGGAACATGTGGTGGCGCTTCAGCAATCAACATAGGCGGTTGTTCAGGAGGTTCCAATAAAGAAGGCAGAACTGATGCTTCAAGAGGCAATTTAGGAGGTTCTTCTACAGCAGGATCAAATGCTGATGATTCATTCTCAGCTTTCTTTCGAGGTTTTCTAGTTTTTGGTGTGTTGCCACCTCCCCTTCCACGTCCCTTACCACGATTTGTAGTGGTACTTCCCAACTGTAAACAAATTAATTTTTTTAAAAACTTTAACACAGTAATTAGGAAAAGACTTATTAAATCAATGATAACAAGGCTGCTAGTTCTTACATAAATGACAGCTCTAATTTTCATGAAGAATAGTTGTAAAAACTTAATTATTATTGTTTTAATATTTCAGTTCATTCTAAATCATTTTTTCAAAAAAATATTTTAATGACTTACCAACATTAATATAGAATAAAATGAGCTTCAAAATATTTAACTAGTGTAATATAAAATTCCTAACATGTTTTTCCTAAAAATCAGCCTTGCAATAATAATACAAAAAATCTGATATTACAATTGTATAATATGAAACTTACTATACTAAAACAAAAGCCAATGGATGATTAAATAAATAAAATAATTAAATATACCGGTAAATTTTTTAAAAAAATTGTAATATTTACGAAGATTAAAGTACATCTTAATCATGAAAAAAAAAAAAATATTTTACACAATTTAAATACTAATGGTTAATAACCAACACTAATTTGATTTTTAAATCTAATTTTAAAGTTAAATTTCTCTTTTATTTAAAGTCTGATTCTAGAAAAAATAAAATAATGGGAGTGCACCCTTTTTATGTAACGAAATTTTATTTTTACAAAATCTATTCTCTTTGGCATATATTAAAAGAAATATTTTGAGATAAAAGGACCAAAAAAAAATTCATGAAAATCCACTGGCATTTTTCCATTGTCTTCTAGTAATGAAGCCCATTGCTTCTCCTTCAACTCCAACTGCCGTTTTTGTTTCAATTCTTCAATGATTACTGTTTTGATTAGCTTCTTTGCTGTCAAGAAAGGGATTGGCATATCTGGCTGATGTTTTCTGGAACCTTTTTTTGTTTATCGGTCAGCATCTTCATTACCTGTCAAACCACAAAGTCCTGGTATCCACTGTAGAACGCAAGCTGTGCCTTCTAAAATCAGCTCCTCAATCAATGCCTGGTACATACTAATTTGATTTGTGGAACAGCAAGAAGGATCTGAAATGGTAATTATTACAGCTTGCGAGTCAATTAGGACCACAACTTTTTGCGGTTTAAACTTTTTTATCAGTTATATTGCTAGAAAAACTGCTTTTACTTCACTGTCCAAGTTACTTGGTAGCTTTCACACAGGCTCTGACATTTGGAACACCAGCTCCCCCATCCTCCTCAGTACACTCCCTTTCCACAAGATCTCGACCCTCCAACCTTTACATTCCTTCTCACAGATCTGCCTCGTTCCAAAACTCCTTTATTGCTCGCTCTGTTGATTTCTGGAATTCACTTGGCATTCTTCCTCTCTATCTACATTTAAAACCCTCCTATTTCAATTCTTGTCCCAAAAACAGCCAGATACCCGCTAACCGTTTATGTAAAACTACATATTATTCATAATGATGTGTTTACATATAGCTCATCACTTAAATACTTACTATCAGATTCGAGTTTCTTTTTCCTTTTTTTTTCAACAGAAACACAGAGTTTACTGCTAAGAGGAATGTAATGTATTTACTATTTTTTCTAAAAGTGTATATTTATATTTTACTATTGTACATAATTTTAAGTGTCGTGGCAAGGTTTTAAGAGTTTTGTATATATATATATATATATATAATTTTTTTTATTATTTTGTATATAGCATGTATAACTAATATTTTCTTTACTTATTTCTCTTTATTTTTACTTTTTGTTTGTTTTTATTTGGCTAGATATAATATTTTAATTTTGTACTTTTTTGATATTCTAAAGGGACTTTTGGACTAGAATAAATTTATTTTCTATTCTATTCTATCCTAAAAGTTTTGTTTTTAACGTACTTAACTTCATATGGACATGGTTTGATTCACGAATGCTTGGTAAGTTCTAGGTAACTTGCTGATGTGTAGATCACTTCTTTTTTGAGCTTCCAGCGATTATGAATATTCATCGGTTTGAAAAGATGAAACTAGAGTTCTTTTTTCATCCCGTGTTAAATTATTCAATTAATGTAATCAATTCTCTGTCTCTCACTATCTGGAAATCGGCGGTATTGTAGCTTTTTCCGGTCAAGCTAATTTTGCAAATTGGCAGGAGGTTTGATTGTTTTGAAGGCCGTTCAATATTATATTCCCACTTAACACTCTCTTCTTTGCTTCCTCTAGTTCCATGCTATGCAGAGCTGGTCTCAGGGCAGGGGAACCCGGGCATTTTCCAGAGACAGGCTGGAAGTGCCTATCATTTATTAGAAAAATAAATTTCAGCTTATTAATAATTCTAATTGATACTGTAGTCTATGCGCAAAACTCTTAACGTATTCTATATTCACATGACCACCTTTTATTGAGCATTCCATTACTTTTTTGGGTAACGACACAATATCTATAACCTTCACTGTAACTTACACTTTTTCATATCACAATTTGCTAGTTTTTAAGTTACAGGTTTTTACAAAAGACCATTGAGAAGAAATGAAACATAGATTTAATTTTGTGGGATCAGAATATGCGGCAGGACAAGATTGACCAGAAAAGCTCAAAACCTTATTTTCCAAAGAAACTGTTCTTACAGGGTTTTGTAGTGTGGCTGTCAATATACAATATCTTCGGTGATCAGACCGAGATAAACATGAGTTGATTCTTAAATTAAAACTTAAACAACCATTCATTTTAACTGAAATTCGATTTATAGAATTTGTATCATGATTGTAGAGCATAATTTAGTATGTGCAAAAGAATTGGTAAAGAAGGTATTTGAATGTGGACAAGGAAGAGGCATGGCGGATTTCAGATGACAAGGAACTCCATATGATAAGGAATTCCAGAAGGCAGTGGACCGGGCAATAAAGGAATGTTCAGATGTTTTAGTTCTATAGGAAGGAATATAAAGGTTGAAAACACGGGATCTTGTATTCTTGGAGTGCACTACGGGTTTGAACTGTAAGACACTGAAGATGCAGGAAGCGTGCCAGGAGTTGATCGTTTGAAATAGGTTAGGTCCCAGAAAATATTGTTGGCGGAAAGAAGGTATATAATATACTTTAAATTATTCAAAAGAAATAAATGTAGAAATAAAAATACCTGAATCATTGAATCAATGTTAGGAGGGTTGTGCCACACAGGACTTTGAAGCAAACAATGACTTCCACCAACACATTTATCATTGGCATCATGGTGTTGCAACATTTTTATTTTCTCTTGCAGATGCCCTATCTGAAAATATTTAAAACATGAATTATAACTAACTAGGAACATATCAAAGTCAGTCTAAGGTTTTGATTTAAAATCATAAAAACAGCTGTTTGATCGTCATCTTAATAAGTTGTGTTAATATTACCTCATTATTATTTTCCATTATTATAACGTTATTTTTTCTAATCCCTTTTTATAATTGTTCAAAAGTGGGTTTTCATTTGTAAAAGTGGTGTATTTTTAATATAATTAAACAGAGATCTGTTTTTATTTGTTTTCCTGTTCTTCCCCCCTTCCTCGCCTTTTAGACTATGGCCTAGTTTTCTATGGTCAGGGAGTGAGGGCGGCGGATTAATGCCAGAATTAAAAACCCCACTGGCACGGGGATGCAATTATGCACAGATAAACACCTTAGAAGAAATAAGAAGGAAGGAAAATCAATCTCCACCTATGGACTCCTGAACTTTCGGAAAGTCAAATGGACATTCCTTCTTATGACAATACGAATGATAATAGTTCTTGGGAGCTGGTAACTGTGCAATAAAGGCCCATGAGTTGTGATGTACATATTTCACCACAATAAACACCAAGTGAAGTTATCTGCACCAGTGACTGATACAACGCTTTGTCACAAATAGAAAAAAACATACCGAACATTTCAGCCGGACCATCAACAACAAACGAAAAAGTTTCATTTATCTTTATTAATAGAGTTAAAATTATTCTTACAATATTTTATTTATAGAAAATCAACCACACTTAAAAAAGCAGGTGCCAAATTCCACTCATACCAGCAGCTCCTGGAGGACAAATCTCTGAGAGTAGATATTAAGGGACTTCACCAAACCATGAGAATGAGTTAAAAGAATAGGGTTATGAAGTAACTGACGTCAACAACATAATTTCACACTTCAAAACAAACACCTCTTCTAATGTTTTTTGTCGACATAACAAAGTAAACATTCAATAAAAAAATCTTTAGACATTGAGTGTAGATATAATTCTCAATATAAAAATCAAAGAGCAAAGATGAAAAAGGACTATACCACCATGTTTAAGGTGTAAACAGTATGATCACACAAAATCCTACTGTAACCACCCACCGAGATGTGCAAGATATGGCTTCAACCACGAGACCATTACAGGTACTAAATCAAGGTGCCCACCTGAAACATGTGACAATTGTAAGGGAGAACACCCTATATTTGCAAGAAAAACAAATAGACATAGCATTGATCATTGAAACTCATCTGACACTTGGTACAAATTTTTTCATTACAGGATATGTAATGTAAAGAACAGACCACCCCAATCAGACAGCACACTGTGAAACAGCAATAGTGATCAAAGCATTACTCAAACATTACCCAATAAACCTACCCATAACACCACAAATCTTTTGTGTGCCCTCCACTATCTTTCATTAGACCAAATTTATCCATATACTCCAAACTACCAGCTAAACTCTATACATAAAACTCCTGACTTACTCAATTTTTTGTAACAAAAGAACTTAAAACTGAACCTCACACCGCCATATCAAGCTCTAATTTTTGCTACGTTCATTTCTTGGTACAATTGGTTCTTTATGACGAGCCTTCAGAAGCTAAAAGAAAACCATTACTAGTAAGAAAGTACATAGACTGTGATATTTACCGAACATATCTTGAATCTAATCTTTTAATTCTTGTTTCGCTCAAAACCGAAGACTAACTTGAAACAGCTGTAGATATATTCACTAAATCTATTCAGAATGCTGCATGGTCTTCATCAGACCACATCATCAAAGAATAAGTGAACTTTGTTAACCACAATACATAAGGGATCTTATAAGAGCAAAGAGAAGAATCCGAAAAGATCGGCAGACAAATAGACTCCCGTCGTATAAACGGATATTTAACAGACTTAATAATGAATTGAAAAAACAAATACAAAAATTAAACTGGACCAATTATGAATCTTATATCGAAAACTTAACAACCACTAATGAAGAAAATGATTAAATCATTCTTAAAATTTTCGACATTTTTCTACAACTTTCACTTCTGCTCAAATCGCAGAACATATTAAACACTTGGTAAAAAAAAAAGAAAGGACCTGGGAATGATCTGATAAATGCTGTAACTCCAACAAATGCCAAGGAAGGCTCTAGTGTTCCTCATGACTATCTACAATGCAATACTTAGGACTACCTAAATTCATATACAATGGAAATATTCACTTATTTCTATGATTAACAAACCCAACAAAGACAAATGCAATCCCTCATCCTATTGTGGTATTAGTTTGCTTTACATTGGTTCCAAAATATTTGAAAAACTATAATACATAAATTTCTGGATGTTGTTCTAGCATTTGATAAAGTCTGGCAACAGGGTCTAAGTTTTAAACTCAAGACAGTACTACACAGCACATACTTCCCAATCCTTCAATCTGTCCTTTCCAATAGATTTTTCATTGTTTGTCAGAGCCTGGAAATTTAGTCTATTCTGCCAGCCATAGCAGGAATACCTCAAGGTTCTATAATCACATCTTGGCTATACATTATATACACACACGACATACCATACAGTCCCAACATCCTAACAACATATGCCGACGACACTTCAATCATAACAAGACACCTACACATACTACAACATCACTTATAAAAACTACAAGATTAGTGCAAGTTGTGAAAAATACAATCAAACTATGACCAATGCCAACATATCAAATTTGCAGTAAGATCTGAAACTTGTCTCCCAGTAAACTTCAATAACCTATCATTACCGCAAACAGACAAGGTCAATTACCTAGAACTAACATTTGATAGAAGACTTACTTGGAGTCCACACATCAACACGTTAGCTGCGGTTACAGTCTCCGACGTGCGATAGCTACATATTAATTATTTTTGTATGCATCTATCTTTACATCTATCCAACTCCCATTCAAATATTTTTAAAAATTGCCGTTTGAGATACTTCGTAAGATTGGCAAAATTCGAAACAATCCCAGCCGAATATCGGAACCCTGGAACTGTGGCCGCAGCTAACTTGTTAAGAAAAAATTTAAGTTGTTAAATAAATGACGTAAACTATTATACTTATTACTCAGACCATATTCAAAATTAAAACTGAATAAGAAATTTAATACCTATACATACTTACTACAACCAATTTTAATTTTGTCTTATGTGTCTCAAATTTTCGGTTCTGCCAAAAAGAGATATACAAAGACTATAGAAATATTTAGACTTATTATACAAGCACCTTGATTTGTTTCTAACACAACTTTACACACTGACTTAAGAATGCCAAGTCAGCGAATACAGACGGATTCACTACAAAAGATTTCATGACAATTTACAGGGACATGACCATCATCTAATAGTAAGAATCACCACTACTAATATGCTTGAAACATCACAAGGAGGCTGAACAGGTCATGGATGAGTGACCTGTAAATTTATTTTATTCTTGTCTAAACTAAAATAATGCCACAGAAGAGATACGGCTTTGTTACTTTCTTCCTCACACCTGACATGCCATTGTTATTGTATTACAGATTTGACAGCCAATTCACTGATTGTCAGTGTTGTATTAGACAGGTGTGGATGAATAAATAAAGTTTACAAAAATAAATAAATCAAATAAAATAATAAGCAACATTGTTTTTAAAATTGTTTAAGATATAGGCTCTCTGGGTAAGGTGGTAGGAAAAAGTGCGACAGAGATAAACGATTGGTGATTTTCACACATCAACACCCTCACAAGAAACTCACCCAACTTTCAGATCTCTAGTTATAATCTATAGCCTTTCTGTGCTCTATAATTAGCCCAATTATCTTGAAATTCTTCTATTTTTTTTCAAGAATAACCACTGGGCTACGGATTTTTTTATTATATAATTATTATCAGTACACAACATTTAAATATCCAACAGCCTAAACTCTTTACCTTCAATTTCCTTCTAATTTCAAACCTGACTTACAATATAAAGAAGATATATAGGAGAAAGCTGTTCAAGAAACTAAATTTATCATAAAATAAGATATTAAAATAAATTACCCTGACTTGATTCTCTGGAGCTGGAGGCATACAAAATATTTCCTGCAACTGTTGCTGTAATGCAGCCATTTCTTGCTGATGACTGATTGGAGGCTGATATGATGTTAATGGAACTGAATCATTATTGTAAGAAGGTGGTTGAGAATGAACACTGTTAGATGCTGGTCCTGAGATAGTATGACAGTTGAGATTTGGAGATAGGGGTACGCCACCTTCTGAAGTTGGTATAGAAGATATTTGTGGTAATTGGGGTTGTGATGTAGTAAGTGGAGTTGATGAAGGAATTCTTTGAGCAGACTGAATAGATGAATGTGAAACCAGAGGAGGTGTAACAGAAGTTGGTACAGCTTGCACAGTCTGCTGAGATTGCCCAGCTAAATCAACTTGTGAAAACGAAGCTTGCTGTGGAGATGAAGGGACTGAAGAGGGTTTTTGTGTCTGCACATTGTCAGAACTAATTGGTTCATGGTTGGCAGAAGCAGGGTTGCTATGAATAATCTCTTCAATTTTGGTTCCATTCTGAAAATTATCAACATAACCCATGTTAGCTTGCCCAGTGGTTTGGTGAGGAGGTGTTTTAGGAATTTGAGGTGGTATAGTAGGAATATCTAATGATTCCGTATTAATTACAGAAGACAAAGTAGAATTAGTAAATTTATCTCTGTTAAGATGAGCCTGAAATTCAATATTTCCATTGGCATTAGGTATTTCATTTTTAGATGCTGGCATATTATCTGCCTGTATTTTATTTGTAGGGCAGATAGGCTTTAAATCTGGTTGTCTGTCTTCAGGGGTGTGCTGCATATTAGAAAATGATGTGACTTGTTCTCCAATCCCAATTCCTCCATTCAAAGGGGGTTGTCTTGAACTTTGCTGCCATTGTGGAGGTTGCTGACTCCTATAATTAGAAAATTCAGTACTGGCAGCTGTACTAGCGGCTGTAACCTGAGGCATAACCATCTGCTCAAGTTGTTGCAATGTGCTTTGTTGAGAATATGAAACTGGTGAAGTATTTGTCTTAGGCGTTAGTGATGTAGGTGGTCTAGGAGAAACAGTTGAAGTTTGCTGAGGATGGGGATGAGGTGATATGTTACTATTAGGTTTAGCTGGTGACATGACTGGTCTTGGAGACATCTGTGGTCTGGGTGACATTTGTTGTCTAGGAGACATCTGAGGAGACAATTGCGGAAAAGGAGCTCTATACTGCGGACTACTGCCTTGAGAATGATTTTTTGAATATTGACCTTGTGCAGCATTGGCTACTTCAACACCAATAGGTCTAGGCATACCTTGTTGAAAACCCTGATGTGCACCTATCGTTGCTGGGTGTGATTGCATATTGTAGCTAGTTTGAGATGGAGTATTAAGATCAGTAATCATTTGTTGATTTTGAGAAGAATATTGCATGTGATGAGGTAGACGAGGTTGAGACTGTTGATGAATGGTACCACTATTATAGCCCCCATAACTTCCTGTTGAACTTGGATACACCATACTTTGAGAATAATGTTGCTGATTTCTTTGATAAGTATTCCCCATGCTTTGATGCATCATGGGATTTAGTAAACCTTGTTGACTAGCAGGATAGCTCTGATTCAACTTTTGGTTTCCTAGTTCTTGTTGGTGAGGATAGTTCATTGATTGCCGATATTGGTTAGGTTGAACATTATAGTGCCTCACTGAAGGAGGAAAATGGCCACTGCCCCAATCTTGTATTCCTTGGTTTTGGTCCATTGAGTACATATTATCAGGAACATTATATGAACCATATTGAGAATTAGGAGGTCTCCTTATATCATGCTGAGGCATCATATTTCTGTTATAATTGGATGATGAACTGTTAGGATGAATCGCACGGGGATGCTCCCCATGGTAACTACTATGATTTCCATGAAATATTTGTCCTCCAGGATCCATATGGTTTGATGTAAACTCTCCACCAAACGATGCTAACTTTTGTAAAGGAGATTCCTGGTGCATATCACCCATTTGATGGGCATAAGAGTATTGTGATGGATTCGGCTGAGGATCTCTGGTTTGAGGAGAAGGTTCAAAATTCTCAGAACCAAGATCTGGTAAACCATCAAGCATTCCTCCACCAACATCCTCGCCAAATAGATCATATGAGTCCATCCTGAATGTTACACAATCGATCTTTGTCCCCTACTGAGCTGAGATTTCCTCAACTCAGTTTCCTGCATTGCACTTATTCTTTATTTAATTCGTTCCATCTGAAATTAAAAAAAAAAAATCTTATCCAATTGCAACTGATAGAAAAACATACATTAATTCAGAAAAATCTAAAATGTTACTAAACCATTAGAGGACAATAAAATAAAATAATTCTACATTGATACAACGAATTTGATCAAAATATTTTAACCGTTTTAGAGAAAATTGTAAAAATTAAAAGAAAATTACCTCCAACAAAAGTTTAACTTAAATAAGTAGACTCAAGCCATTTGTATCATATGACTTATTTATTAAAATTATAAGTAATTACTTAGCACTATAATTATTTAGGTATTCATTCAATAAAAGAAGGATCTCATACATTAAAAAGTGGGCCCAAAACTTTTCTTTCATAATTGTAAAAACTAAATATTATGGAGGTTAATTAACAGGTAAGAGTAATACCCTATAAAAAAGATACAGTAAAATAAATTATTGTTTGTTGTAATAAAAAAAAACTATATTTTTTGAGAAAGGAGTTCAGGGTGATGTCAAAAATTATCTCTCCTTCCTCAATCATTTATAACAGTCAACCATGGGGTATTCAATATATCTTTTTTAGTAGTATTAAAAATCATATTTTAATGTCAATACTCCATTTATCTTAAAACATAACACTAAGAAGAGGTGAGGAATGTTGGATTATTGATTTCATTGTAGCTTTATTTGATCACAATAAGTCAAAATTATTGCGTCTATGGGGTATTGCTAACGTGTCCTAGAGATCAAGAAAAAAAAAACTATTTCATTTTAACATTTATTTATATTACTGTTTTTTTAGAGGATTGTTTTCTGTCTTTGCTCTGCACAGATTTCTAGGTAAGTATATACCAATAGACTTGTTTTATTTTTTTGTAAGAGAAAAAAATATTACTAATTATACACTATGAGTCTGATTTTCCAAAACAAATTAGAAGGTTTTTAAAATATCCTACTCAATATTTCTCTGTATTTAATGTATATAAGAACAACAATATAGCAATTCCTATTAGCAATGCCTGGATCTCATAAGAACTATTAATTGAAACCAACATATTAAGTAAAAATTGTTCATTATTCAATTGCAATAAAAATTTTTATTTAAGGATTTTATGAAGTAGGAAAAACAAATATTAACCTTGGTAATTCCTAAAAAAAATATTTAATAGGATCCGAATGTGTTTCTGGTGTTTATATCTACAATACATGCATAATATGTGTTTTCAGACTAAATCAGAACAACATATAGGTAATGTGTATCTAATCTTACTCTAAATGCCTGTCCAGTTCAGGAAAAAAATTTCATCATATAGCTATAGTATGATAACAATATTAAAAAAAATTGTATCAACTAAAGGATCCATCTTTTAACTCCATAAATCCTACAATATTTTTTAACTCTATAACTCCCTAAAAGGCAGCCAATGTACCCTTTAAGAGATTAAAGAACATTAAATTGTGTGTTAAATGAGTACCTTAACTTAATAATTTTGTTAAGTAGTATGGTAAAAAACCACGGTCAATAAACACTGATCTTTACCAAATTTCTCATAAACCAAAACAATAATTTGTCCATAATAGTCTATAGGTCAGAAGGACAAGATCTGATGGAGAGGAAATAAATAGATGAAATGAATTGGAGGAGATTTTACGCATAGAACGGGCGATGATTATTGATTATTTGAGAATGGAATATGCCTAGACAGAATTCTGAAGGAGGGGAAGGACCACACTAACTCAGCACAGTAGTGGGATACAATGACAAATCTTAGGAAACCATTCATAGTTCATTTTAGACTGTCTCCAAGTTCGACCAAGAGGCCACTGTACACCACACAGCCATAGTCAACATGAGAGAAGATGATGGAAGATACTAGAAGTCTACGTGTGGGTATGGGTAGATGGCAGAAGTGATTGATTAGTTCCAGTATATACGAATATTCTTTAAATCAACCACCATTTTTTAAAACAGCGGTTCTGGAATGATAGACAAGGTTCATTTTACTTAAAATAACATGCACTTTCATAATTTACATTTAAACCTTGGCCTGTGATAAGGTACTGTTTAGGATCCTGGCTCCAGAACTATCAGACATAAGTTTTTCAACCTAGTATTACTAAACATTTTTTCATAGAAACGGATAATTCCACATTTCTCACCTCCTTTTCTTGCAAGAAAGAGAAAAAAATGCTTTATCAATGGAAGTGGTTGTTCTTAAACTTTTTTGCAATATATCATGTTTGTAGTTGCATTAATATTGAATCAACTTTTTTTATGACTCATATAAATATGGGTGATAAATATTGAGGACGCAGTCATTATAAACTTTTTATTAGTGCCGACAATTCAACCCAAACATGTGGGTCATCATTAGGGTGTTTTTCGAGCATTGAAGATGTTTAAGTACTCACTATGGAGTACTTGAGTGATGGAGTGAGTACTTGAACACATTCAGTTTTCGACCCACACCCTGATGATGGCCCACATATTTGGGTTGAAACATCGACACTAACAAAAAGTTTATAATGACAGCGTCCTGAATATTTATCACCCACGATATGTAGAACAGTCAACTAACTTCCTTCAATGACTCATATAAATCATAATAATAATTATATAGTCTGTTTTAAAATTAAATATACTGAGTCTTTAAATATATAAGTAATCAAATAGAACTTGTGACCTTCTTAAAAACCTGTTAAGCTGTTGAAGTTATAAAATATCATGGCTACTTACAAAATTTACATTTGAAATTCGTAAAATTTAGCTACATAAGAGTGTCTTCATTCAAAATTAAATGTAATTTTTTATTATATATATAGCTGGTTTATTCCAAAAAGTTATTAAGCTTAATCTTTGATGGAGCTGAGCTTATAACGTTTTTGTGAATTTGAACCTTTTTTTTTTTAAAAAAAAAGAAAGTAAGTGCACTAAAATGAAACAAACCCTTTTATATATCAAATATATCCTACAACAAGTGAATAGTGTTTTGTATATAAAGAAAAAGTTGTTGATTTAAGGTTATGAAATGTTACCTAATGACTTTTTGTAATAAACCGAAGATATACAGAAATATTAAAAAATAAACCACCAAGATGGCACTAGTAGCTGATTGAACCTGAATATGATTAAAACTTAAAGAAACCTTTTGCATAGCTTAGAAAACTTTTTGTTCAAGCTGAACTTGATAGTTGACACTGTTTAAGAGTCACCGTTAAAATTAACTTGGAACAAAAAATATTGTATATGGTCTAAAAAATTGTTCAACTGACATTTAAGTATGCTTCTAAAAAATTAAAATATTATGATTTTTGATTAGGTACTTGAATAAATAAATAAAATATATATATATATGAAAATTGTGCATTGCACAATTTCAAATTCAGTTTTGATTTATTTTCAGATACCCATAAAATCTTAATGAATGGCTGATCAATGGTTTAATTTTTAATTGGTTTACAGCATAAGTAGGAAAAATAAGTCAAAACTGTGTTGGCAGGCACCTTTTGTCATTGTGATTTCTCTTAGATCAAACATTTATTTTAATCGTAATTTCATTCCAATGCAACGGTTATGATTTTTGTTAATATACTCCATTTTAGTTATTAGGATTATTGTTTTACTAACATGCACAATAATTCGAAACTTGTAAACTCCCTTTAAGTAGAAGGAAGCTTATTCTATAGCCCTGGAGCCAAGGCCAAAAATTGACCTGATCGCAGGCGAATGTTTGATTGTAAATTACGAAAGTGTATGTTATTCTGAGTAAAAAGAACCTTGTCTGTCGTTCCAGTGCCCCTGCTATTAGGCCAATAATTTGAGGATCGAAACAGGAAATCCATTGCGAAAAATGTTAGAAAAGTTTTTATTTTTTAACTTGTATATATGGATTTAGTATATATGGATATATATATGGATTGTATATATGATGATTGATATAGATTGATATAGATTGATATAGATTTATATAGATAGATAGATATAGATTGATATATGATTGATATAGATGATTGTATATATGGATATATATATGGATTATTTTTTTACATGTAAAAAACAAAATTGGTATCGTGGGTCACCAAGGGAAAACTTTTTACAGCCAAAAAAGTCAGATTTTCTCGATAATTTTCACCTAAAAGATGCATCAAAGCGAAAAATGTTTTCTTTAATAAATTAAAGAACGTTAAATTTTGTGTCGAACAAGTACATAAATTTTATAATTTGGTTACGCAGTAAGGTATAAAACCACGGTCAACCAATACTGAAATCTACCACATTTGTCAAAAACTGAGACAAATTACTATAAATGGTCCTGTAACTAAGAGGAAAACCCATAGAATCAAAGTTGTAGAGCACCAAATTTTGCATCAAATGAGTACTGACATTTTCATTGTAGGCCAATTATATATCTCTAATCAGGATTCGTTATTCCTTCATAAAATTCAGTATCTTTCGACATATTGTTTACCAAGATCGTTTGCTGTTAAGAGGCTTATACTGCATTTAACAGACTCTAAACAAAAATAACTCAGTGGAATAGACACCTACACTGTTGAAATATTGAAAATCACGTTTACCTTCATTACCAATTTCTAACCATCGGGAGATTACCGACTTTGTTCGCAGGAAGTGACGTAAATGAAATGAGTTGGTAATCAGTTGACACAAAATTTATTGCTCTACAACTTTGATTCTATGGGTTTTTGCTCTAAGGGAACTCATTTCCAAGTTACAGGGCCATTTATAGTAACTAGTGTTCACCCAGTGGTCGAAATTTGACCATAGCCATTAAAAATTTGAGGAAAACATAATTAAACTAAAAATAAATTCAATAAATAAAGAGTAAATCACTATTCAAAAATCCTCATTTATTAATATAAAAAAAATAATTTTAATTTCAATTATAAATTGAGCTTAAACTACCTAAAATTATTTATAAGTAATACAAAATAGACGCATTCAAAATATGTAATTTCCATTTTAATTTATGTGTGTTATTATCACAATGAATTAATGTTA